CAGGGGGTGCGGGTGTCTCCGGCTCCCGGAGGCCTCCCCTAGGGCGGCTCCGGGGACGCGGGCTGGGGCGGCCCGGCCCGCCGGCAGGCGTGAGCGCTTCTGCTTTCTGTTGCTCACCGGTGATTGAACTTCAGGAGCGATGCCGCCGGGTGTGCGGGGCGCGCCGGACCCACCCGCGGAACTGGCTGGGGTCCCCGACCTGTCACCCCAGTCCTGAGCGCCCAGGCGCGCTGCGAGTGCCTGCGTGCGCTTTGGTGAGCTGCGCGCCCCGAGCAGCCTGGCTTCCTGGAATGACAGCTCTCTTTCCCTTTGCTTATTAAATTGTTTGAGAAACCTTCTACCTCTGGGAATTTAGAGCTAAATCACATGACTCGGCTTCCAGTCTTTTTTTTTTTTTTTTACCCCAAGATTACTTAGTTCCAAATTGTGGGACTTGGTAAAGGAAGTTGGACACAAGGCGCCAAGACCTCATGCTGGTGACTTAGGTTGATGAGCTTATACTGTCAACTATCCTTTGAGGTAGAGGTGTGTTCATTCTGTAGGCAAGTTGGCATAAACTGTTCTGAGACAATGTTTTGACATGTTTCAGAGGATGGCAGTAACTTGACACATATTCCCAGCTAGACGGGTGGCTCATATGGTAGCTGCATCATAGTATAAAGGATGCATCTGAAACATGTCAATTAAAAAAAACCCACAAAACTCCTTCGTTGAAACATGTACCTGATACTTCAATTGTACTTCACGTTCACGTTGAACATTAGTCATTTATGAATCTTCCCCACCATTTGAAATCAGTCTTCTAAATGGTGATCACGTGGTGCAGGACAAATGGCTTCTATGGAAGGAAAGATGATATGAAAATGGCAGAAGTCTAGCTTTCTACGGTTTTATGGTGCAAAACCGCCCGATTCTGTCTTATTTTGCTAACATAAATAAGCGTTTTAAAATGTCTTCATTGATATAAACTACCTGTGCTGTCAGATTGGAACTTGATCTGCGGTGAATGAATACATTTGTTATGACTATATTTTATAGGAGATTTGCCATAGGATTTATAGGGTGTATTTCAGACATTTCTCATTTACCAGATACAGTTCCCACCAGCAGAGTCTTTACAACAAGTGGTATTTATTGATATGGTTTCTTCTGTTGCTTATTGACGACCTCAGTGGTGAAAAACATACTAGTAATCTTATGTTGCAGGATCAGCTCAGCTCTTTTCTCTGTTTCAACCTAAGTCCGTAACTTGGGGCTTCCTGGAATGACAGCTCTCTTTAACCTGTTTCCTGGCTAATTGGGTATTGTTAACTGCTGCTCTTGCCTGTTGTCCAGGCAGCCTTGTTTTCCCCGGTGGAGTCTGTTTGGAAAACAACTTCAGTGCTCTTCAGGGGACTTTCCGCAGCCTGGAAGTTTTCTTACTGCTCTGTTCGTTCTGGCAGCTTCTAGCCTGAATGGGGCTACAGCCATGGCGGAACCAAGTCCTTTAATTTAATTTAAGTGGTCACCTGTGGTGAGTAGCTACCTGGTTGGGCAGTGCAGCTTTCAGTTATTTGTCCCCCAGGAAGCGTTCACATATTCTCTTGAATCTTTGCTCTCAGTGTACCCAGCACTCTTGGGCCACATCACCTATTGCAATTATCCAGTAATTGCAGCTTTCTTGTCAGAATCCTACAGTGGGCTGTAATCTACAAGAGGGCTAGGGCGTGTCTAGTTTCTTTACTGTTTGCTATGCTAAGCCTGGGACTTAGTGAGAAACACCCTTAATATTTGTTGAAAGACAAAGTGAACTTCAAGAGGGTAGGCGTATTGTATGTTCTCTCTAGGGCTCAGGGCTAACTAAGTATCAGGACTATAAATACTTGTTTAGTTAATCAACAGATTTCATGTAAAGCAAATAAATGGATTTTTGGAGATATGTTTTGGCTAGATGACTTTTTTTTTTTTGGAGCCTCATGCAAGTAAACACTCAAAACTACTGAAGTCGAATGAAAGGACCTCATGAGTCCAGTCATGTGGATGAGCTTAGGTCTCCCATTGAGTTGCTCAAGGATGTCACCTTACACCCCACATCCCTAGTCGATCTGAGAAGTCTCTTGGCCCCAGTGAAGTGATCCTGGAGCAGCTCTGAGGAAGTTAGAGGGCATGTCTACTCACACTTATTTTGTGTGCACCAGCGAGGCTAGAACATCAAGAGACTTTAGGCTATGTGAACTATTGCTTTGTTCTGACTTGATTTTGGGGTGGGTACCTACATAAATCAAAGTCTGAGGAATTCGACTTTAGTTACCTGGGTGTATTTGTGGCAAGTCATTTAGCATTCAAGAAAACCAGAATACCTTTAATGTAAACTGGATTTGGTTATTTAATATACAGTATTCCTGTCCCTAGTAACATGCATTCTGGGAGACAAAAAGAAAACCGCTTATTCTTTACTAGTTCCTGCTGGTCTTCAGAAAACATGAACCAAGTTGAAAAGAGCCAGCTAGCTGGTGGTGCTGGAGGGAAGCTGATCTGGCTGGATGTGGAGTTGGTTAGCCCATGCAGAGGAGGCCGTGTTGCGTGGCTTCCAGCACAGAGTGGCCTGCCGGAGCAAGCTGTCGGCGGGCTTTTAAAATTCTAGTCGGTGTACAGAAGTAATCTAAACTAATTTTTAAAATATGAATTCCTGTTTATATTTAGAAACAGTGATAGCATATCATAATACTCCAGACTCTAAAGAGCAGGTGCAAAAGAAACCGGAATGTGTTTAGTGTCACAGCCTTGTTTTCTCCATTGTTTCTGGTGTTCGGACTGGGCTTCAGTGCTTCTCTCATTTGGAAAAGTTTGTTTTAAGTGCTTGTTTTCCAGAAAAGTCATGTGGCTTTAAGGGCATGGCCTTTATTTTTCTACTAGGTTAGGATAAATAGCTCCTGTTTTAGATCCTGTGGCCAAGTGAAACAAAGTCTGGATGGTCTTAGTTTTATGTGGGGGGTGTGTTAGGAAGTAATGAGAACTTTCTGAACTAGATTATTTGTATGCAGAGGGTACACGGCATGACATATCCATGTGTGTTACTGAAGAGAGAATAGCATCACCTATTAGATGAGCTCAGTGTTTTAATGCTTTCTCCTATTACTGGCAAGTACCTAGTTTTAAAAATTATCCCAAGCTTTGTCTGAAAAGACTGCATGTTGTGTGGCAGCATTCAAGTGTGAATCTGTACTCGTAAAACATATACAGCTAGAAGTCAATGTTGCCTCAATAAAAAAATAAAAAGATCTCCTTTACCTATGCCCAGTAAGAGGCAGTGTGAAGGAATACATTTCATTTAACAACAGTTTGCTAAAAGGAAGTTTTCTCCCCCTTTCCCTTTCCCTCTAAATGGGGTCCTTGAAGCTTGGAGTTAAAAATATCAGTAGGAGCAAAACTGTCAGTAGGTCAGCTATTAAAAAGAATATACACTTTATGTGTGTGAAGGACATCATTCTAAGCTGCACAGAAACATAATAGCTGTTTCCCTCCCTCTCATTAAAGGTGGCTTCCTAGAAAATGACCATAGAGGACCTTCCAGATACTCCATTAGAAGGATACCCATTGATTGGAAGATACCCATTTTTATTTCCAGGTTCCGAAACACCAGTTGTCTTTTCCATTTCCGCAGCACCAATGCCTTCGGACTGTGGTACGTCGGGTAACTGTGTTTATTTTCTGGGAGCTGGTAACTTGACTTGCGTATAAGCCCTTTTTTGCATGCATAGTTATACCTAAAGACATTGCTATGATTTTTATAAAATTGCTAACCTTTTTCTTTTTCAAAAATTATTGCTTTTTCTGCCTCTTAAGCTAAACATTTTATTTCTGCTATCAGCATTTTTGCATTTATGTAAAAATGTTCATTTTAAGCATCATGATGGATTCAGAAGATAATTATTTTTAGAATGCAATGGTGCTTAAGCCATCCAGCATTATTCTGCTATTGATGTATTTTTTGTTGTTGTTAAATATGCTGACTTGCTAAAAAGCCATGTGCTAAAAAAAATGACTTAAAAGTTCTGTCTCTAAGTGTTCTGCTGTCTCTTGAGATACTAGGATTCTAGTTAACGAACCAAATACTCGTTGCTGAAATGATTTGAACTTAGGTGACAGTATACCAAGTCATGTGTTTCAGTACACAGGGGAAACGAATTTGGATCCTATCTGGATTCTCTCCCATTGTAATTATCAAGTTACACAGAAATAAAATGTAGTGAAACTTGAAATAAGTTCATGTGTTTATGCATAGGGGGCGAGAGACCTTTTCCTAGACTGAGGGGTGAGATCGGCTCAGATTTAAATTAGTTCATTAAAATCTCCTCTATGAAATGTAAATGTAGAAGTATTCTGGGTTTTATCTATTTGGATGTATTTCCCCAACATCATTGTTGGGGAAGGAATAAAAGAAAATGAGGAGATAAATGATAGATTTGTTGCATTTCTAATTAAGTTAGAGTTTTACAGGCAAAAAATATTGGGTCATTGCTTCAAATTGTGTTCGGAAGTAGAGCTAATGCAGTTTTAAATATTAGCAGGTATTAAACTATTGGATTGGGAATTTTTCTTTTCTTCATAGCCATCCTAATAGCGACTCATCTCCAGGTATGCTGTTTCTGGGTGTTTAGGTTCCACAGCACCTAACCTTGAAGTGTTACAAAGTGTTACATAAAACCTTTGTCTAGCTCCCAGGAGTTATTTGCAGCTCTTATCAAAATTGTCTGGGTTTATTTTCAGAACAAAATCAGTTATGCAGAAAAAACCTTAAATGAAAGCATTTTATACTTTGCCCTCAACCCTCATTCACCCTGAGTCATAGTTGTCTTATTTCCTTAGCACCCGCTGGGATGGACTAGCAGTCATGTTTTGTTTATCTTGTTAGGGCTAATAGAACCATTTGTTGCTTTGCTCAGCAAGTGTTTGTTGGATAAATCATTGGGTGCAAGGTGCTAGCAGATATTGGGCACCACATGTAACTGAAATTAAACATTACCTATACTCTTAAATTGTAGATTCTTAGTATATGAATGAACCTGTAGTTTAATTTTCCCTTGTCCTTTCCCACTATAGAAATTCTCTTTTTAGGCTTTCTCATTAATAACCTAACTGGGCCATTTGGATGTCTTCAATAGCGGGAACTAATGAAATGGTCTGTTCATTGCTAAAACATTTCAGTTGTAATAAAATATTTTTGTTGTGGGCCCTCCCTGATGGCGCAACAGGTTAAAAGCACAGCACTGTGAAGCTATTGCAGCCACTGCAGCACAAGTTTGATCCCCAGCCAGGGAGGTGACCCACATGGCACAGCAGACCTCTTCTGACCTGCCCGCTGCTCCCCTCAGCAGTGTATTTCAGTCAGTCTGCCTGTTCTGCTCCCCATTCTGTCTCGGGTGACTGGCCTGTACCCCAGTTTTGTATGTATAAATAAATCTTTAAAAAAATAAAGTTAAAAAATATTTTTGTTGTGATATTTAAGTATTTAAAATATTTAAATATAGATCTAACATATAAATATATAAAGTATTTTGAACTTAGAATATGTGTCCTTTAAACTTTGGATGCCTGGTATGAGTTTGACACATGGATCAAACACTTCTTCATGATAGCCTTCAAGTATCCAAAGATAATTTAAATATTTTTACTTAGTCTGTGCTTCCTTAGGCTACGAATTGCTAGTTTTTTCACTAATACCTCAGTGTCATTTTTGTTTTCTTCTTAGTATGCTGTAGACAGTGTCTTCTGAAAATAAGACTTGCATTTAATGAGTTTTTATTGAGGGCCTGTAATGTCTTAAGGACTGTCCTAGATGCTCTGAATAGCTGGGTGACCAAGACAGACATCCGAGTAGGGAAAACAGACAAACAAGTAAATAAGCAAGACACAGATGCAATAGGTTATGAAGGATTCTGTGGGGAAGAGACACTTCACAGGGAGGGGGCTGGGTAAAGCAAGCAGGGCAGAGGGGATACTTCAGGGGGTGGTCACCCGCAGAGTCAGAAGGAGCTGGCATGAGAAGAGCCTGGAAAGAAGTGTTCCGGGCGAGACTAGGAAACTGGAGTCCCAGAAAGCCTGCTCTGTCCTCAGAGCTACTGGGATATTGAAGGGAGAATGGTGGGAGGTGCAGTTGGAGAAGTGTAGGGCTGGGGGTGCAGGTCACTACGCCTTCCTAAGGAATGTGTATTTTATTTTAAATGAGATGGGGGCTATTAAAATGAAGATTGACTTTCACTCTGCCCCTGGTCCAAGGGTAAATTTCAAATCCTTCCAAGCAGAGGACTTTCTGCTCAGAACGCCAAATAGCATCATGGCTGTGACTTCGGTTACCAGGACATCTGGGATGGCTCGGCCCACCCGCCCTCTGCCGGAGCACAGACTCTCTCTTGGGGATGAGAAGTGTGTGCTGCTCCTGACTATGACAAGCCAGTGGCTGGGCCTGGACTTCCCCACTCTGCCCTATTAATTAATGGGGCTCAAAAGCTCACCCAGAGCAACCTGCTACATCATTCCTGTGCACAACGTGTGTGGGAGACAGAGAAGATTCACATGGACATTTTGGAGAAGCTTTTGGCAGCCCAGGACAACTGGCCAGGGTCTGCTACAACCCTGACTTTGAGAGCTGAAGCTGAAGTAACTTGAAAGGACTCTCTGAAATGGTGAAGCATGGCTCCAGTTTCTGGGGAAGAAGACTTGGTTTACAGGAGAGAAGCACAGCTGTGTGGATTTCCTGGCTTATGACATTCTTGACAAACTCCTGATGTTTGAGACCAGGTGTCTGGATGCCTTCCCCAACCTGAAGGGGTTTATCACCGTCTTAGCGGGCCTCCAGGAGATCTATGCCTAAGGAAGTCCAGCTGCTCCCCCCAACACTCACTGTACTGTTTCTAAAGATGGCATTTTGCGGCAACTCATAGGTCCTGCGAAGCAGGGAGATGAGAGTGAGGTAGGGATTCTGTTGTATTGCACTTGGGCCTCCAAACAGCTAGAGAGCCTCTTGCACCCCCAGACTTTCACCTCTCTTTGCTAAATGATGTCTCTGAATTGTATCCTTCTCACTGAGTCAAGCCAACATCCTCATGTTAGTGATTGCTTCTGCGCCGAGGTGTCTAACACTGCCCCCTGCTGGTCGGTGAGCTCCTCGCACGTCCCAAACACAGCCTGTCCAGCCCTGCCTGATCCCCTGAAATGCCTTAATCACAAACAAAATGAAATTGAGATTGAGATTAAAGCCAGAGCGCAGACAGGCACCTCAGTGTTGCCTGCAGACTATGCTCTGGCCTAAAGATTTTGGTCTTTGGCTTGACATGTCTTCAGAGTCAGTTTGCACAGAATGTATTCTAGTGTGCTTAACGCACAAAAAGTGAATTATCTTTTAACGAGATTTAAATTGTAATAACAAATCTTATTTTACCCACACAATCACCATTGCTAGCCCTCTTCATTCCTCTGTGTAGATCCAGATTTCTCCTTTGTGAAGGGTTTCCTTGAACATGTCTAAATCCTTTCAGCCTTTTTTTTTAAATGTATTTGCCAAGTGTAGAAAAAGTTTTTTTTTCCTTTCAGTACTTAAAGATGTTCTTCTACTGTCTTTCCACTGCATTGTTCCTGATGGGATATCTGCTATCTTTTGTTTTTCTCTATGAAAAATGCCTTTTTAATTCTGGATGCTTTCACATTTTTTCTTTATCACTGGTTTTGAGCAGTTTTGCTATGCTGTGTACTCATGTAACTTCACTTGTGCTCCATGCTTGGGCTCTGTGAGGCTTCTTGGATCTGTGAGTTTCGGTTTTACCAGTTTGCTTACTTGTTATTTCTTCAGATATTTTTTCCTGCCCCTCCCCCCCGCAGAGATTCCCAGGTACAGAGATACTAGACCTAGACGACGATTGAATTTGTCTCCCAATCCACTGAAACTTTTTCCATATTTTAAAAATGCCCTTGCCCCTGTCTTTCATTTCATGTAGCTTCTGTTGCTGTTAAGTTCATTTACCTTTTTGTCCTGAGATGTCTGATCAGCTGACGAGCTCATCCTTATGAAATGTAGTTTTCCAAATATCTCCAAAGTTAGTTTTTTTTTTTTTTTTTGGTATTGTCTATGTTTCTAAGCTTTTGAACACTTAAGAGTTTTAAAAAAAAAAGTAGTCTTAGTGACTGATTAAAATAGTTTTAATGTCCTTTTTGGTTTATTATAATAGTTTATCTATCCTAGGTCTGCTTTGGTTAATTACTCCCCTGACTATGTCTTTTCTTCCCCTTTCTTTGCATGTCTCGTTACCTTTTAAAAAAAGTTAATAAAGAAACACCTGTTGGTGATCTGTGCAGGTTTATATTTCCATCCCTGTATGTACTCTGTTAGAATCCAGGCCTGGCAGTCAGCCTTTGACTGATGGCAGACACTGTGGATTTGACCTTGGTGGGCCCCAGATGTTTTGTGCTCCTGTAAATCTTCTTGAGCTGTGTTCTTGGATGCAGGTAAATTATTTGGAAAAGCTTGACCCCTTCCGGTCTCGTTTTTATGACTTGTTCGGCAGTTGTAAGCAGTGCTCCAGGGAGCTAATTATTCACCACCATGAAGTATCTACCCAGTGTCCCGTGAACTTATTTCCAGCCTTTTTGGTGGGAACAGGTACTGCCTGCTATCTCTGTGAGTGCTGGGCCTGTCCCTCCAGTCCCTTCCCTTTCAGGCGTGTGTTAACACTCCAGGGCCCTCCTCGGCTCTGCGGGTCTCTGTCTCCCCTCTGGGGCTCTACCTGCAACCTTGCGCTGCCTTGGTTTCCCGTGCTCCCAGCCTTGTCCCCTTAACTCAAGGAGTCTGCTGGCCTTTCTCTTGGCTCCCCCCTTGTGCCATGGCCCGAAACTCCCAGGGCCGTTGTCCTGCTCACCTGTTCTCCTGTCTGCTGGGACCTCTGTCTTCCTGGACCGATATCCAGTGTCTTGGAAACTGTGCACCTCTACTTTTTTTTTTATAAAGATATTTTTTTTTAATATTTATGGATACAAGAACTGGGGTGTGGGCCAGAGGTACAGTTGTGGGAGTGGGAGGATTTACCAGAGACAAAGTGGGGAGAAGAACAGAACAGGCAGATGTACTGAAATACGCTGCTGAGGGGAGCAGCAGGTGAGACAGGAGGAGTCTGCTGTGTGTCGCCTCCCAGCTGGGGATCAACCCGTGCTGCAGTGGACAGCTTCATCGTGCTGAAACTTAGCCTCTGATGCCACCAGGGAGGCCCTGTTTCCTTTAGCTTTGCTGTTTGTTTCAGGTGGAAGAACAGAGTAATCTTTATTCCACCTTGATTTGCAGGGGTACATGATCCCTCTACCCTCGACCCCACTTTCCTTTGATTAACTTTTCTTTTTGCTGTGGGAAGCTTAAAGTTTGGTTGTAGTTAGATTGGTAAATGTGCTGCACAGTGTGGAGGTTAAGATGATCGCTCAGTGTGGTTTAATCCCGACTCAACCACTTACCAGTTGTAATCTTGGGCAGATTACTTATTTCCTTTATCCCTTTGTTTCTTCTTGGATAAAAATGAGAATAATAGTACCTGCTGCATACGGTAATACATGCAAAGTAGTACATGTAAAGTGCACGGAGTAGTCCCTGGCACTTACAAGCTCTGCACGAGTGTGACACTATCCTTGTTGTTTGAGCGGACTGCTGCTGGCTGTCCTGACCTGCCTCTGTCCCTGCCGAAGCACAGCTGCTCCGTTAGTGTTTATAGAACTGTGCCCACTCCCACTCCCCCACCACCACTCTGGCCCTTATTCTTCTTGGTCCAACTGTTCTGGCTTATTTCTCTTACATTTTCTTTCTAGAACTTTGCTACTCAAAGTGTGGCTCAGTCTAATAGCATTGGCATCACTGGGAGCTTGTTAGAAATGCAGTCCCAGTGCCACCTGAGACTCACTGGATCAGAATTTGCATTGTAACAAGATCCCTAGGCGATTCCTTCCTACTTTAATGTTTGAGAAACTTCGGCGTAAATGAGTCGTAGCATAATTTTGTCTCTATTCTCTAACAAATAAACCCTGCTGAGGTTTTGGTTAGCATTGAAATTATTTTAAGTAATTGTTCTTAGGAAAATTGAGATTTAAAGCTTTAAATATTTTATCTTCAAGTCCAGGAAAATGATGTGTCTCTCACTGTTGAAGTCCCCCATGTCCTTCATTTTTCTGGAAATAAGCCTCATCTGTTCATCTTTGTCACAGGCATGTTTGTCATCAGTATTGTTATTGTGTGTGTTTTCCCCCAGAGCGTTTCACTTTTGTAATGGAAAGTTATTTAAAAATGCAGAAAATGCAGTGACAGTGAGCATATATATCATGCATATCCATGTCAGAGTGAACAAACACTAACATTTTGTCATCTTTCCTTTAGCTCTTTTTTTTTATTGAAGGAAATATAATCTTAAGCATAAAACTGAAGTCCTTTTTTCTTTCATGTCCCATTCTCATTGCTCCCCAGAGACAACCATTATCTTATATCTAGTGTGACTACTTCAGGCCATATCATTACCATGATTTATGCCAGATGAATGCCTGGAAATAACACATACTATCCTTTTGTGTGGCTATAATTCCATATAAATGAAAGATACTGTGTATCATTCTGCAACTTAAATGATCAGTGTCTTTTGAGTCTTATCCTTATCATGACTTAGATAAATAATTATCTAAATAATTTATTTGTTAAAAAAGATTCCACCCTATGAATCTACCACATTCTGTTCTTTTTTTGCTGTTACAATCAGTGCCAGAATAAGCATTCTTGGACATGTTTCCTGTGGACACATGTAGACAAGTCTGTTAAGGTGTATATTTAGAAACCTCCCTGTTTGAAATACCCAGTGCCTAAAAAAGTGACTGCTCCATAAATATTGAATGGATGAATCAGACTTAAAAAAAAAAAAACAAAACCATTTAACTAAAATTTGTAACAAACACAAACAAATCCAAGCTCAAGAAACTTACAAGCTGCTTGGCCCAGTGGATACCATTTCTTTTCTGGTTCCTTTTTCACACAGGGGGGCATGTTGTTGTCTAAGATTCTGGATGGTATCTCATTCTGGTTTGCATCTTCCTAATGCTCACTCAATGAACTGCTGCCTGCTTTTACCTGCACTTAGTTCTGCATCTCTCTCTTTAACTTTTACTTATCTTGCTTTTAAAAACGACAGTTATGTGGGTATTATTAATTTTGGAAAATACGTAAAAATGCATGTCATAAATCCTGCTACTTGTGTATACTGTTCAAATCTGCGCTCAGAGAGTTCTCTTAGGGAGAGCTATGGAGACAGACCTAGTTTTCTGTCCCAAAGGTGCCACTTTTACTAGCTGTGATGATTTTGAGCAAGTCCCGTGTAGTCCAAGCTTTGGATTCCTTATCTGTGAAATGAGGTGAAGAGTCCCTGCTAGATAAAGTGTTTGTGAGGGTTGTAGGAGCTTGGTACATTGTAAGCATGCAGCTTACAGTACAATACTGTTTTTTGAATGTCTCCCTTACTTAGATATTTCTGGTTTGGGGGCGGGAGGGTCCTTACCTGTTTTAAGGAGTGTTCAAGATACTGAAATCTGAGTTTCCTCCTTTTTCTTTTAGCCTCTACCCGTGGATGAACTCATGACCTTTGAATTTTAGGGAAGAAGTTTAAAGAGATATTTAGAACATGTCTAGTTCTGTCCAGTATCTCATTTTACCACTGCATAGTCCAAAGTAACCAAGTTGCTTTGTCCCAGAGTTTTATTTCTGTATTGCCACAGACTGCCTCCCTGCTGGTTGGGAGCCATTTAAGAAGTAATGCCTGAATATTATAGCAAATCAGGAAGAACAGAGAAGTAAGAAGAATATTTGAAATTGCACATTGTTCTAGTGTACACTTTTGATATTTTGCAATATATCCTTTATGTATGCTTTAATCATTGATGTGAACTTAATGTTCATGACATGAAATTTGACAATTTTTCTGTGCTTTAGAAATAGTTCTTTGAAAGTTCAGGGTTTCAGATCAGACTTTGTACACTCACACATTTGTTACATTCGTAATAAAATGTCCTGTGATAAGAGGAAATCCCATTCTCACAACAGCTCAGGAATGTCTTGTACTTTTTGATGATCCTGGCTTTGAATTTGAGATAATTACTTACCTTTTTTTTTTTTTTTAAATATCTGAAAACATTTGTGTTATTTGAACCTGGTCTTATTGTCTACTATTTCTGGTATATTTATTTGGAACTTCCAATGAGTTCTATCTTTCTTATTTCAGAGTTCTCTTTCTTTGATCCCAATGATACATCCTGCCAGGAAATTCTCTTCGATCCCAAAACTTCTGTATCGGAATTGTTTGCCATCTTGAGACAGTGGGTTCCTCAGGTCCAGCAGAACATTGACATCATTGGGAATGAGGTAAGGTGTCCCTGCATTTAAGTTTTGCGTTGTTTGATTGTCAGTGCTGCCCCTCCCCCACCCGAACGGGAGGACGGTGATAAAGGAGACAGCTCTGAAAGGTTTCGGTGCTTGTTCTCTGTATCGTCACACGTTTCCCAGGGCCATCACCCATGCACTATGCTCCCTCTGCCGTTCCCCTCATGCGCCTCACTCTCTCACATCATCACATTCTGCCTATGTTGTTGGGTGGTTTGGTAAACATCTAGGCTTCAGTATAATTGTAAAAAAATACCTGATTTTTTGAAGGAGAGATAAGAGAATAACAGGGTTCCTTGAACATGGTATGGGAAGAAAGAACTTTTGCTTTTTTCAAATCATATTAAGACCCATAGATAGGAGACTTCTTTGTTAGCCTTCTCCTTTGATAAGCTGGGGAACATTCTTATAGTGCCAGACGCCCGGCAGTTCCCTAAGAAGGCCCTTCGGTTTGGTGACAGATTCAGGGATTTTTTTTGGTGTTTGGGGCAGAATTAAAGTTTACCCTTAAGAAGAACCAGAGCTTGTTCCCATTTTCTCTGGGAACGCCCTCGGATAAGGCAGACTAGTGTGTGCCCCATATTGGTTTAAAATCCACTGGCTTCAGGCACAATCTCATCCTCGATTTTTTTTTTCCTTCAGATTCTTAAGAGGGGCTGCCATGTGAATGACAGAGATGGATTGACAGACATGACCCTTTTACATTATACTTGTAAATCCGGAGCGCATGGTATTGGTGAGTGTGTGGTGAATCTGTTCATGGCTCAGGTCACCTGTGTTGTGCTTGTGTAATCTTGGGTTTAGTCAGCCCAGAAGGGCACCATGTGGAGGCAATATCCAGCAGGGCAGGATTCAGTTACTGATAGATCCTTCCAAAAACCTTCCCCTCTGTCCTTTCATTCAGGCAGCTTTACAGTCTCGAACACTTTTCAGCTCCTCTGGAACCGGCTTCATTCTGATATGCTCACTAGTGAGTTAATGGGTAATGGGAACCTTCTTGAGAGTTTCCAGCAAGATCTGACAATCCAAAGTCAGTTTTCCAGGCACCCAACCCCCCTACCAAGGCCTGTTCCAACATACATAGCTGATGCACAAATATCCCAAAGTCAGTAGTCTGCTGAGCTTTATCAAATTGTGTGAGCCTGACCCTTGTTTCAGCTATATATTGTGATGATCTCTTCCCTGTTTCAGTGGTCAGATTTAGTGCTTCTTCAGTTATTTAGTGCTTCTTGAATTATGAAGGACTGTTAATTTAGCAATCTGCTGTGAACTGATACTTTTGTAAAATAAGATATTGACTTTATATAGAAAAATGAAATAAAAAATAAAATAGAAACCCAACTGTTTTCCAAAAGGCTTAAAATATAATGAAAACATTCAGAAAAAACAGTTCCATATGGCTAAAAAAAAAAAAAGTGATGGAACATTCCAACAGCGAGTGGCTGGGCGAGCACACTCTGAGCAGGAGGGCTACTGTGTTCCTTTGAGTGGGCTTGTAGTGTTTCCTTCTATGGGTATCATGTAATTTGTTCGACCAACTTCTTATTATTGAACTTTTAGGCATCAGAGTTATAATCATAGTAAAGGATGCTGACAATCTCTGCAGCTAAGTGTTTTCCAGATGCATGAGTATGATTATGTTCCTAAATGCCTAGCAAGTGAAACTTTTGAGGTATATATGTATATTCAGTATGCCACTTGCTTTGGCTTTTAAAATAAGTACATAGCCACCCAGTGGAACTTACTATTTATTTGTACCGACAATGAATAATTTAGAAAACCTTCTTTAGGTGATGTTGACACAGCTGTAAAATTTGCAACTCAACTTATTGACCTGGGAGCAGACGTGAGCTTGCGGAGTCGCTGGACGAATATGAATGCTTTGCACTACGCTGCTTATTTTGATGTCCCTGAGCTTATAAGAGTGGTTTTGAAGACATCTAAACCAAAAGGCAAGTGCTCTAAGATTCCTGCTAGATGTTCTTAATTGAACATTTTATTAGTATCATAAAAGCTATTACTCACACAGGTTTTTACTTCTTACCCATCTTGTTCCATATGGCCTCCTAGCCCATATTTTTTTAGAAATAGCTTAAAATTTCTTGTTAGAGATTGATTACTATCATTTTGCAAAAGGCTTAGTCAAAGAGATACAAAATAAAAACTGCTCTTTGGATTTTTATGCCTCTGCAAATTCCCCAGTATTATAGTGTTATTGAGCCTATGTGCTATATATACTTTGTGTTATTCCAGTAGCCAGAAATAGGACAATAAAGCCTTCAGAGCTAATCACTGAATTCATAAAAGTATTTTTTTAAGATGACATTCATTCAGTTCTGAAATTCCCTGGTGCCATTAAAGGACAGCATTTTGTCCCTTTCCCTTGGTGATGTCCTGTCTCCTGAAGACCATAGTGTCTACATTACTGTCTTGGGACTTTGACTTATCTCCGGTTCTCTATGTGGGTCAGTTTTCTTTTGAGAAAAAGAAGCGAGAGACAGCATGGCAGCGTGGCTGCGCTGACAGGTGGCGGTGTTTCCTCGGTCCATGGGCTTGTTTCAGAGACCGGTTGGCACATACCCAGAATGTCTGTTTCTGACCTCTGCTTTGTGTAGGCATCCACTTGTTCTTGAACTTTGACTATTTCACTCCTTGAATGACGCCAGGAGGGCGGCCGCTCTTGACAGCAGCGGTTTTGCTGACTCAGCAGAGTTTGTCCTGCTCCTCGGTGGTTTGTGACTGCCGGTGTGGCGTGGGTCATACGTGGCTGGATTACCGCAGGGCAGGGCTTCGGCTTTGAGGGTCATCTGGTCTGTGTCACAGAGGCTTGATTCCACAGTTGTGGAATCAGAGTAGCCAGAGAGCACATGTAAATGACTGCAAGTGGCTGTGTTCCAACAGAACTTATTTACGAAAGCAGAAGTGAGTTGGATTTGGCCTTTTGGGTCACACTTAGCTGGTGCCTGGCCTGCATCCTACCATCTCACTGTAGCTATGATAGCAAAAATGCAAGAGGTTTAGTCAGAGATTGCATTAAGATGATTGCTTTTACAGATAAGCACTGTCTACATTCATTGCTTTTAAATATAATTTAGTTTGTGATAGTTGGAAAACCTGTGACAATATCAGTCAATTTTATACCGAAATTTTATTGTACTAAGAAAATAACTGATTAACAGATTGTAATATGAATATTTTGTTCCATTGAAAATGGTGATTTAAAACTTGCACATGGCTAGGCCCACATTGGTGGCACGATGGGTTGGAGCCATTGCACTGCGAAGCTAAGCCAAGCTGTCGCCACTTCAGTGCAAGTTCTAGTACTGCCCCAGAGGTGACCACATGTCCTGGGAAGACCTCTCCTAACTCGCCCGCTGCTCCTCTCAGCAGTATATTTCGACGATCTGCCTGTTTTGCTCCCCACTTTGTCTCTGGTGAAGCCTCTCGCTGTCCCTGCATCTCTGGCCTTTATCCCAGTTCTGTATGCACACACACACACACACACACACACACAAATCTTAAAAAAAAAAAAGAATTTGTATATTTAAAAAAAAAAGACATATGGCTAATGAAGCTCCCTTCTCCCAAAGAAAACCCCTAGCCCATCTCTTTTTATATTATAATATTATATTATAATAGTGAACTTTGAAATGTTAGTGAATGTGCTTGTGATGCTTAATTACAGATGTGGATGCCACTTGCAGTGACTTCAACTTTGGAACGGCTCTGCATATTGCCGCCTATAACTTGTGTGCAGGTACTGTGAAATGCTTACTGGAGCACGGAGCAAATCCTGCATTTAGGGTAAGAGGTTAAACTGAAAATGAAAAATATTAAAATAATTAAAAGTAGAATACTCTCAGTATCATCGTCCAGTAAGGAGTTGGATCTGGATGTTGCTAAGGAATGCTTAAATATAATTTATATTTTCTTCAGATCAGTTTTATCTCAGGTAAGTTTAAGGCACAGCAGTGAATTTCACCCCCCTTTTATTGATAAGCCTTACAAAGCTCTCTATTCATCCAACAAAGTAAAATACTTCTCTTTGAATGTAAGTATCCTTTATTCAGGCTTTAGCTATATTTATAAATAGCTAACTGTTAAAATAAACATGCATATGTTAAAGTTATATTAAATCACATCTTAAATTCTTTTGGAAAGAAATTTTATGTCAGATAGTTTAAAATTTTTACATTTAAAAATGCTCTAAACCTGGCCCTCCCTGGTGGCGCAGCGGGTTAAAGCACAGCACTGAGAAGCTAAAGCCGCTTCCGCATGAGTTCGATTCCCGCCTGCCCCGGAGGTGACCACATGGCGCGGCAGACCTCTCCTGACCCGCCCGCTGCTCCCCTCAGCAGTGTACTTCATCGATCTGCCTGTTCTGCTCCCCACTCTGTCTCTGGTGAACCCTCTCGCCACCCCTGAGACTCTGGCCTGTACCCCAGTTCTGTATGTACAAATAAATAAATCTTAAAAAAAAATGCTCTAAACCTTTAAGGAAAAAATTAATTTTATCATGGTAATGCTACTAATTTACAAAGTTAACACAGGATTGAATTTCATAATTTTCAAGTCCTTTGGTAGTATATTATCTTCACAAAAGTGGCTCTCAGTGTTCTTTTCCCTTATTTTGATAAAAGTCACTTGCTCTGGCAGGATTCTTTACTGCGTCTGTGCCTTCTTTTGAGGGGAGTGTGGGGCAGCCCTGAGAAAACTGCTTCCCTCCTATTCTCCCCTTCCTCTTCCAGCTTTCTTGTTCCCTCTCTCTTTCACTTCTTTGCCACTTCTCTGTTTATCTGCAGCAACCAGTAAACCTGCTCCTGGGCGCTCCACGGTGTCCCAGGCCGGCACCCCTGCCTTCACCCCTACACGGGGCCCTGCGACAGCAAAGGACATCAGAGTCTGTCCCCAAGGAGATGGGCATGGGCAAGTGAGCAGTCTGGCTGTCGCAGGGGGGTCAGCGTGGCGCAGACAGTGGTGGAGTCCGGGGCGTAAGACAGAATTAGCTGGGTACAGGAGAGAGGGGACAGGAGCCTTTCGGGCAGAGGAAGTAGCAGACACAAAGGCTGGGAGGGGAGAAAGGTGCTAAGCTGAATGTGAACATGTTCGGTGTTTGCTCCAAAACGTCGATAGAGTATTTTGAAGTTAGTAAGATGCAGTGAGTATATCATTGAGCTAAATTACTAATTCAGATCAGGAACAGTTAACAGATGACCACCTTCTGAAGGCTAGTACTTCAAATGGAGCCAGAATGTGGGTCATCCGTCACCCTTGGAACATCCTCCAGTAACCAGTATTTTAAAAGAAAATGGAATTCTGGAATTAATCCCGAATGAGCATTCTTACGACAGTGTGACATCCTCCTTGTTGATATTTTATTACTGAGTGTTTTTTTAAACAGAAGTTTTACTTGCAAATTTTATAGGCGCTAACAGAACTAGCAGCTTAATCTCGAAAAATGAAAACAAAAATTAGGTGTAAAATACTCACTGTAAATATAGCTTCCCTTTGCCAGTACAGGTTTCGTCTTGGCTCCACACGCTGAGCCCCATCCCTTTCTGTCAAATAAACCTACTAAAGTGTTCTACATATCTCGTTATATCTTGGACTTTTTCTTTGAAATCTGGGCGTAAAAGAGTAACTAGATAGCATATCATCCTACCATGTTTCTAACTTAGAATGACATTGACTTGAATTTTAAAAGAAAATTTGGGAGGCACTTGCAAACTGAGTGGGTCCCCAAAGCCTCTCTCTTTTGTCCATGTGGACATTTGAAGGTGATTAGCTGTGGAGAAGGAAAGGAAGTTTCTTAGGGGGAAAAAAAAATCTTGATTTATTAGATAAAAAAAAAAAACTATCTGGACTTCTCATAAAATCTGAGTTTTTTGGCTGGGGAACTTAGCAGAACTGTAACTTGATAGAGGCGGGAGAAAGAGCAAGGGCTCTGGGCATGGGTTATCAGGTCTTCTCTGCCGTGCTGGGGACATAACTGAGTCACTTCCCTCTCCGGGGCCAGTTCCCCACCTGGCAAACTGGGAATGTCCGCAGTGTGGTACTCGCTCAGCTGTACCACGCCGTGCCTTCCACCGCGGTAATAAAGTCCTAGCAGACGAGGGTTCCCACGTTTCACTCACAAATAGAGTTGGGTTTCATGTGAGCGCCGAATGAGGTTCCTTCCACGATGGGACTGTGACTGCACGAACCCCCTGCCCGTGGCAGTGGGCTTGTGGCCTGACCCTCTTATCTTGCTGTGGGAGGGGTTTCAAGACACAGCATCTCCCTGTAGTGAGAGCAGAGACTCTGTTCTCTTGATGCGGGCCCAGGCTTTGGGAAGCCCCCAGAGTCTCTGCTGTTTGTGTGCCTGGAACCTGGGCCGTTCCATGCGCAGTGGGAGAGTCCAGGCCACAGAGCAGCTGAGGAGGTTGGAGTAGGGTGGGGCTCTGGAAGCCACTCTGTCCTGACTCCTCTTTCTGACCTTCTAGCCTCTGCAGCCAGCCTCTGCCTCTCACCAATTCACCACTGCTCTTCCTGGGGCCTGGAATGCCCCCCCCACCTGCACCATCACCCCCAGTCTCAGGGGGCTTCCTGGCAAGGCTTCTGGGGCAGGGAGACGCCTGCCACCTCGCTCCCCTGCTCCGTGTTACAGTTTTTTCTCTGCCATTTTTAACCATGGACATGCCACATACTATTCCACTTGCTTGGTTAGTCATGGTCTGTCTCCAGACAAGATGGTGAGCAGGTGCCCCAACCCCTTCACTGTGGTATTGCTAGCTGGGGGATGGTGCCTGGCATCAGGTACATGTTGAATAAACCTCTGTGAATACATAAGTGGGGGATGAGTTTAATTTACGGTTCTGTCCCCCTAAGTCACCCTCTGTGACTGAGTGGAGTTCTAAGTGGCTATGAATGAGAACTGTTTGTCTGTATTTGTAGAACGACAAGGGCCAGATCCCTGTGGATGTGGTTCCAGACCCAGTGGAGATGCCCTTGGAAATGGCTGACGCCGCAGCTACCGCTAAAGAAATCCGGCAGATGCTTCTGGACGCGGCGCCCCTGTCCTGCGAGGTCGCAAAGCCGGCGCTGCCAAGCTACGATCGCATGACCAGCCGGGCGATGCTCACCTCCCTCGGCCTGAAGCTGGGGGACCGTGTGGTTATCGCTGGACAGAAGGTAAAGCTGTCTGCTGCGCCCGGGGCCGTGCGTCCCTGGCGTCGTGCGCGCCATGCGGTCGGAGGTCCGAGTCTGCAGCAAAAGCTTTGTGGAAACGTGGGAAACCAAGACGCCATTCTGCTGCAAGGATGAGAATATGAGTTGTCTGAGCTCAACAGTGAAGACATTGTGATAGGAACGGGAGAAGAGCGCTGTAGAGCTGTTGCGTGCGCGTGCGCAGGGGGCCGTGGCAAGAAACCAAGCTCTGGGGTTTTCCCTGCCGAGGCCCTGCGGCCCCATCGCTCCTGCTTCATGGCAGTGGGGACCCTGCCCAGCCTGGGTGTTTGGCTGTTATTTTAACCTGATGGTTAAGGACTCCCCACGCCACCAGAGGTGCAGCCACCGGGCCTGTGCGGCCTCCGAAGCCTGTAGCACGCACTGCTACGGTTCTCAGTGTTTTTATACTTCAGGGGTTCGGGTGGGGGTGGGGGGGGGATTCTTGTTTAAAAACCTCTGAGGTTGATGTGGAGCCTGGTTTGGAGACCAGAACAGGGAACTCCTGCTTGGGTTTGAGTTCCTAACATATTGTGTCTAAACATTTGGGTGGGGCTCGGGAGGGCGAAGGCGATGAACCTTTCTCAGAGAACAGTGACGACGGGAAGTTTGATTTTATGGAGGAAATACCTCCAAGAAAGCAGGTAAACTGCAGACAGACTTGAAGGTGACATTTACCAACTTCAAAGGGAATCTGTATCTATGGCATTTGTTTTTTATTGTCCTTCCTGTGGGCTAAAATACTGAGAATCATGCATTGATAGCATCTCAGAGAGATTTTTAGGAAGAGTAGTCCTTTCTTGGGTATCTGGGTCCTGTATTTGAGAACGGACTTAGAGGGCCACCCGCCTCGCTGGGTAACTTAAAGCTCTGTAACAGATGTGCCCAGCCAGCGTGTGCATAACCACCCACTCGGTTCACGGAGGTTTCCTTTCCATTTACTGCGTCTTCCTCTGAGCGTCTTCATTCTCTAGGGAGTGTCTTTAAAGAGCAGTAACTTCCAATTTGGTGCTTCCCACCAATTTTGACATTTTGTGTTAGCATTTCATGCCATTCAGATTTCCCTTGGGATTTTCTTTTCCACCAGAGGTAATTTAGGAGAATATTGTTTAATTTTCAGACAGAGATTTCCGTGATTTCTGGTTTAGTGATTTCTGGTTTAATTCCCCTATGATCTGAGAACATATTTTGTATGATTTTTATTCTTTTACCTCTGTAGCCTAGATGGAGTATTTTTAAAATTCAGTTAGGTCAAGTTGGCAAGTGGCTGGAGTCGGTTACAGTTTGTATCCTTACTCATTCCCTGTCTGCTTGGCCTATTGGGTCCCGTGAGGGGTGAGTTGAAGTCTCCAACTGCAGTTGTGGGTTTGTCTATTTCTCTCTTCAGTTCTATCAGTTTTGATTATGTTTTGAAGCTCAGTTGTTAGGTGCATACAGACTTGGGGTTACTATGTCTTCTTGGTGAATTGACTTATGTCTATCTCCTCTGAGAGAAAATGTTTTTTAAAAAACTCCTATGCTGATGTTGCAAGAGTAGAACACTTGCAAAATTACAAGTGCACTCAGAACTTATGTTGATTTATGTTTTCCATAGGTTGGCACATTAAGATTTTGTGGAACGACTGAATTTGCAAATGGGCAGTGGGCTGGCATTGAGTTGGATGAACCAGAAGGAAAAAATAATGGAAGTGTTGGGAAAGTCCAGTACTTTAAATGTGCCCCCAAATATGGTAAGGTACATAGTAATAACTTAATGAAAATCAATTAAAAATAATGACATGTTAATCTTTCTTTATCTTAAAATAAAAGTTTTCTCCTGACTCTTTACTGCAATACATAAAGGGGCTTTCATCTCTTCTTGCCGTGAGCGGTATAGTGACTGGAGGAAGCTGCCTTGTCTGCAATACACCCAGCTATGCAGACTTTACTTAAAAACTGCTGCTGGTGGGCGCATGACTGAGACAGAGACCTACTATCAAGGAAACACAGAGCTCTGGAGTCAAAAAACTTGAAATACTGGAAAAGCAAATGAGGCTGACTTCATTACTGTGCTCCTGAACTGGATGGTTTTCTTTTACAGACTGTTTCAACATATAGTCTAATATAGTTGATAGACTTACCCTTTATGTAGTTTATTATATTACTTTCATTTTTAGAGAGATGATTATTCTTAACCCACAGACTTATTTTAAATTGCATATTTTATTGTTTTGAATGTTGAACTTTTTAATTCTAAATTTAGTCCATTTGGAATTTATTTGATTAGCTGTATAGGTTAATAATTTAATTTTAATTTTCCTCTGTTATCTAACTTGGCAACTGTCAAGCAGACCAAGGACAAGATCAAAACCACTAGTCACACACAGGGCAGGTGTAAATCAGATGCATGGGAAATGCTTAGGTTAAAAAGACTGCCTGTGGCTGCCCCAGATCTCATCACCCCAAGGAGGACTGCCGTTTAGGACAAAGCTGGATAACCCAAGGACCTTGCCTCTCTTTCCCCCTAAACATACTTAAAGGCAAGTTTGGGTCAAGGAGCACATGTTGGGATTTGTATAAAAGTGGGGGTAGCCTTTCTTTTGAACCAGCCTTGCTAAACTACTTGTTGGGTTTTCAGGAAGGAGAGCAGAAGTGGGAATCCTATTAGTGAGCATAAACTAAAGAATTTTTTTTCCCTCTAAATCAATCATTTTCTTCTGGGTTTGTTGCATGTCCTATATTAAAAATGCTATAGTCGGTTCCAAGATTGTTATATTCATGAATCTGTTAATTCAAACATATATCAATTTTTTTTATTACAAAAATTTTATGACATTTTTAAAGTCTCTTTTTAAGAACAGTTTTAGATTTTTTAAAAAAGATTTATTTGTTCATACAGAACTGGGGTACAGGCCAGAGGTGCAGGGATCGTGAAAGGCTTTACTAGAAACAAGAGTGGGGAGCAGAACAGGCAGATGGAGGAAGTACACTGCTGAGGGAGCAGCAGGCGAGTCAGGAGAGGTCTGCCGCACCATGTGGTCACCTCCGGAGCCAGGGATCAAACTCGCACGAAGTGGCTGTGGTCAGCTTGCAGTGCTGCGTCCTAACCTGATGTGCCACCGGGGAGGGCCAGAACAGTTTTGGATTTATAGCAGAATTGCCCTCATACTTGTATAGCCTTCCCTTATCAACATCCCTTCACCAGAGGGCATATTTCTTACAACTGGTGAACCTGTAATGACATGTCATAATCACTCAAGATCTGTAGTTTACATTAGCATTTGTTCTCTGTGCTGTGTATTTGATGGGCTTGGACAAATGTATATTGAAATTTATTTTTTACTGTAATACCATATAGGGCATTTCAGTGCCCTGAGTAACCTCTGTGCTTCCTCCATTCATCTCTCCCTCCTCAACTCCCAGCAACCACTGCTCATTCTACTGTTTCCATAGTTCTGCATTTTCCAGAGTATTACACTATTGGAATCATATGATATCTATGAAACCATCTAAGATTGGGCTTTTTCCTCTTAATAATATGCATTTAAATTTCCTACATGTCTTTTCACCCTTTGACAGACCATAACGTTTAGTGGTGAGTAATATTCTAAAGTCTGGATGTACCATAGTTAATTTATCCATTCACTTATTGAAGGACATCTTAAATTTTAATATTGATAATTTTCATGTCTTTTGATGATTACCAAAGTGAATACAAGTGCCAATTTTAATAAGGTAAATTGCATTGTGAGGTTTATTAAAAGCAACAGTTAAGCCCTTCCCATGCTCACCCTTTCCCGACCAGAATGCAGCTCTTTGGAGGCAGGAGTTTTTTCAGCTCATTTAACTGTGCCTTCTGATATTAATATTCATGTTTATCACAATACATTTAAAAGAACCACTCTGGTTTTTCCAATTTGAGACATCTGTTGACTTGATACTGTGAAGAGACAGATTTGGTGTTCTTACTAATTGAATTAGGAGTTTTATTATTTTGCTGAAGCACAACCTCTGTGTGCTTCCTATGAGGTAAAATTTGAGATCTTCCATTCTAAAAATATGTTCATTTCTACCTTGGCACTTTGTAGGCTAATTTGATGGAATAAGGAATGTGAGATTGGGGTTCAGATTCTCTCTGTATTTTGAAGGTGACCTTTCATTGTTTAAAGCAATTTGCCAACTTCTGGAAAGAGCTTCATAGTAAATATTGTAGACTGTGAGGACCATCTCATCGCTTGTGGCAGCTCTTCCCCTCTCTGTGGTGTGTGTAAGCAGCCACGGGCAGTATGGAATGAACTTTTCAGAAGTTGGAGTAGCAGGCTGGGCTCTTGGGCTGTCATTCACAACTATTATCTTGAACACCCAGTACTGCTGTTCAGAAGTTTGTGTTTCCCTCTTCTCATCTTGACCTTTCCCCTTCTCTTTGCAGTTTGTTAGTACTTTTTTATTCTGTCATTTTCTTTAGAGTTTATTCTTTACTAATATTTCGGTGGCATCTGGGGGAGGAATTGGAGTTAAGCATATCTATCAGTTATATATATATATATATATTTTTATTTTTTTTTATTTTTATTTGTGCATACAGAACTGGGGTACAGGCCAGAGGCTCAGGGGCGGCGAGAGGCTTCACCAGAGACAGAGTGGGGAGCAGAACAGGCAGATCGACGAAGTGCACTGCTGAGGGGAGCAGCGGGCGGGTCAGGAGAGGTCTGCTGCGCCATGTGGTCACCTCCGGGGCAGGCGGGAATTGAACTCATGCGGAAGTGGCTTTTTAGCTTCTCAGTGCTGTGCTTTAACCCGCTGCGCCACCAGGGAGGGCCAGTTATATATATTTTAATGGTGCTTTGGGAAGAATCATGGTTCAACAAAATGGGTCATGTTTATTTGGAAATTTATTACTCTTCATTTAAAAATAATTCTCCTGTGTTTGTTTTTACTTAAGCCTTGCAATTATATGTCAAGATCTGAGGCAACGCCATCAGTGCTTTGGTCAGTGTGAGTCACTAAGTTAGGTTGGCCCAGCTGCTGTGTGTTCTTTGGGCTTTGTCAGGTCACTGATTTGAGTTGAATTTTGGTTCTCCCAAATGATTTGGTGAATTTGAAAGAGCAAGAAGGATGAAAACTGTGGAGGTGAAGACTTACATAATGGAGAAGTCACTTGAAGTCATTGGTTAAGTATTTACTTCTTAATTTAAGCAAAAACATGTTATCACATGGCATTTTATTAGTGAAACATTAAAAGAAAAATCACATAATTCTCTTCAGATTAAGAAAAAAATCAATGACACAAATGACTTCACCACAAAATTTGAAAAATTGATGTAAAATATTTAAAAATAGTTCATAGTCTGGGCCCTCCCTGGAGGTGCAGCGGGTTAAAGCGCAGCACTAAGAAGCTAAAGCCACTTCTGCATAAGTTTGATCCCCGCCTGCCCCGGAGGTGACCACATGGCGTGGCAGACCTCTCCTGACCCGCCCGCTGCTCCCCTCAGCAGTGTATTTCAGTCTATCTGTCTGTTCTGCTCCCCACTCTGTCTCTGGTGAATCCTCTCACTGCCCCTGCACATATGGCCTGTACTCCAGCTCTGTATGCACAAATAAATAAATCTTAAAAAAAATAATAATTCATAGTGTATCATAAATGTTGTAGTTTTCAATTTCTTACACAAGCATTTTTTTCACAGATGCAGTGTAACCAAATATATAACTTGACTTTTATTTTCTTGATCTGCTTTCATATTTTTCTGTATTTCTACATGATATTTATGGTTTTTCTTATGAATGGTGCTGTAGCAGCTCACATACAGTCAGTACATTCATTCTGCTGCCAGTTTTCTCAAATAAGAATAACATTTCAGTAATGACATATTCAAGTATGTAATGAGTATGTCATCTTGTTTTTCTATTTGTATTATTTTATCATGATTACTTTCTGAAAGTAGGATTGATTCATAGTAGTAAACTGGAAATTGTTTTTATTTGTGGAACCTATTTTACGATATGCATACACAATCTTGTAACCTTTGCACACAGTAAGGTATTTCCTTGTAATTAATAACAAAGTTAATTTGGTTCAGATTATTTATCTTTAAGTAAGATTGTATGAATTTATGTTTCTAGAATATCAAATAATTTCTTCAAATCTATGGCAACACTGGATGTACTAATCACTTTGGTCGTGTGTGTGTGTTGGGGGGGGTGAGAAAATAATTTGGAAAAAAGAATAGAAAGTCAAGGAATATTTGGTAGGCAGGAGACCAAAGAGAGAACACTGTGAGTAATTAAGAGAGGCAGGAAAATCAGAATCAAATGTTACAGACGATAAGGGAGAGCAGAATTTCAAGATAAGCAGAAAAGTAGTACAGATGGCACTCTTTTAGCTATTAGCAAATCAACCATTTTTTTAGTCTTGAGCATTTCTACAAAATTATTAAGTTCTTTTTAAATATGTTACATTTCATTTATAATGTGTCTTTGTTAGGTTGTAAATACTCATACATGTTATGACTTAATTTTAATGTCCTAGCAAGACAATCTCGATACTTATAGTCCATATTTGTTATCTCTGTGTACACTTATTTGTGCAGGGCATTTTATTTCCTGGCTAAATTTTTTTTAAATGGAATTTTATACTGTAAGCACTGCAGGCAGGCACCCCTCCTCCCTCCCCTGCTGACCTCTCCTCCAACACACTGCATTATTTCTGATGGGCAGAATTTTGTCTTTTGAAGGTGTTCAGTTTGGAAGAGAGATAGAACATGGCCATAAACAGCTATATGTAAATCTTAAGGAATTGTAGCTAAAGTGACATGAAGAGTAGTTTTTGTCCTGTAGAGTGTACAATCATTTGTCAGTAGCTTAGTTAGAAATAGTTATAACTGAGACTCTTACCTTTATTCATTCCATCTTCCCCTGAATTTCACTTAGTGACTGACTATGCATGTTTTCTGTGGTGCTTGCTGGTTTTGACACCTAGCTGGTGAACTAGCCATCTGAGCGTGAGCACTGCCTCTCATTGCAGGACATCTAAAAGGCACTAAAAAGGAGCTTAGAGTTGCGTTATTGAGTTGTACTTGCCCTTTTGATTTGAAATGCTTTTAGTTATTTGATGCTCACTAGCTTCTGCCTTCTCTCTCAGGCATATTTGCACCTCTCTCAAAGATCAGCAAAGCGAAAGAGGGCAGGAAGAATATAGTGCACACGTCTACAAAAGCTGCTCCTCTCATCCGGTCCCAGAAGATTGATGTAGCTCATGTAACATCAAAAGTAAATACTGGTAGGTCACACCAGAAAGTTAAGTATTTTCTTCAGCTTGTCTTAGCTATTTGTGGGATTCTTTATATTTTGATTGCTTCACCCTTTTTTATTAGCTAGCTAGTAAAAACTACATTTAGGCCCTCCATGGTGGCGCAGAGGGTTAAAGCACAGCACTAAGAAGCTAAAGCCACTTCAGCATGAGTTGATCCCTGCCCCGGAGGTGACCCACATGGTGCGGCAGACCTTTCCTGATCCGCCCACTGCTCCCCTCAGCAGTGTGCTTCATTGATCTGCCTGTTCTGCTCCCAACTCTGTCTCTGGTGAATCCTCTCACTGTCCCTGCACCTCTGACCTGTACCCTAGTTCTCTATGAATAAATAAATTTTTTTTGAAACTACATTTAATACATTTAACAAAGCCTGCATCTCATGCTTTAAACCTCAGTCGTAGTTTATGATTTTATTTTTTGTCAGAAATATTTCAGACTTGCTACAAAAAGCCAGGTCCTAAATCCAGTATCTAAAAAGAAAAACTGCCATAATGATTGCACTTACACACCAATGCCATCACATGTTTGCACGTCCAATTGAGTGTGCACAGCCGTATCTCAGCTGTCTTAGGTGAGCTTTACCTATGAGCATTGTGCAGACACACTGGTGAGTTAAGGATCGGACGTTAAAGGACAAACAACTAGGTTACCTTGAAGTGTTTTTTTGTTTAGAATTCCTTAGCTAATTGTTAAATAGATTTAAAAGATTCTTTACTGGTAGTTGGGGAAATTGAGGTTTTCATAGGGACTGAGAGTGTTCTTTTCTTTCCCACCTGAATTGCAAAATATTGGGCCCTGCTCTGTGAGTTCCCCTTCCAGGTCTTTTCAGAAGTGGGTAAGATTTAGATGGTGAGGAATGTCAGCATTTTAAATAGCAAATGCATTCTTATGTTTAACATTCAACAAAATTCATTTGCTGAAATGTTTTGTATCTATGTCCTAGGATTAATGGCATCCAAAAAAGATAGTGCTTCTGAATCCACACTTTCATTGCCTCCTGGTGGAGAATTGAAAACTGTAGCAGAGAAAGATGGTAATATAATCTTCTATTCTCAAGACTTAATTTACTGATGGAATTTTAAAATAATAATGATTTAACTTATAGAGGGCTTAATTTTTGAAAGTTGTAAGGGACAAATCATTATAGTAAAAAATCCCCTTAAAAATTCCTTCAGCAGCTTATAGTGAAGTATGTACATTTATACATGTCTCTTAGTGTAAAGTACTGTATGATGATTTTTATGTATCTGGATGAAAGGCTGAAAGACGAAAATGACAGTCTACAGTGCAGATGACTTGATAACAATGTTTGAAGTTTCTTTAACTGTCAAATCATTGATTCATTTTAATCAAAATATTCAGCAGTAACCCTACTTGCTTTCAGGACAATCAAAGCATGCTAATATTAAACTTTTGTCACCTAAAGACACATCACCAGTAATTTTTGCATAAATAAGATGGGGTTCCACATCATCTAAAAAAAAAAAAAAAAAGAACGTGGTGCTGAGTAGTAGTGTGAGTTAATGATGTGACAGTATCTCCTAGGGGACATTGTTACCCTATAGTGTGGATCCTTAAAGCACGAGTGTTTGGGCTATAAGGTCTTTTGTGTAGGAGGGTGATGTGTTTGGGTGCAATCAGACATTCAGCTTAGCTCTGGACAGTCCGTATTTGAGGATGCTGGGTGGAGCTTTCCCCGGAAAGCCCGTCATTGGTGCAGTCCTGACCTCTGATCGCGCCTCTTCCTTTCCCGTGTTAGTTACCCCGCTGGGATCCATCAGCAGCTCCTCCTCTACGTCTTCTCTGGAGCACACACAGAGCCAAGCCAAGAAACCGAACGCAAGTAGTAGCAACAAGAAGACGATGAGCAAAAGCCCCTCTGTTTCGTCTCGAGCCAGTGCTGGTATCTATGGCTTTTTCAACCAGGCTTTCTTGGTGTTTTTTATCTTGATTTGTTTGTAAGTAGATTTGCTCTTTTTAAATGTGTAGAAGGAACCTTTATTTCACTCAGATTGAACTACTTGCACTCTTCCTTCACCCCTGTGCCCCCCACCTTTGCCCATGTAAGCCTCCCTGGATCCTGGATCTCACTGCCATTTCCCCTGTCTGGATTGATTTATTCTCTTACCCTGTATCCTGTATTCTCTTATCCTGTATTCTCTTATCCTGTATCCTGTTCTTTAAGGTTCATTTTAGAAATTCATGCTCATTCCTCTGATACTTGGAGACTATACCATTGTTCTCGTTCTTTTTTTTTTTAATGTATTTATTTATTCATATAGAACTGGGGTACAGGCCAGAGATGCAGAGGGTGAGAGGCTTCACCAGAGACAGAATGGGGAGCAGAACAGGCAGATCGACAAAGTATACTGCTGAGGGGAGCAGCGGGCGGGTCAGGAGAGGGTACTGCCGCGCCATGTGGTCACCTCCGGGGCAGGCGGGAATCGAACTCATGCGGAAGTGGCTTAAGCTTCTTAGTGCTGTGCTTTAACCCGCTGCGCCACCGAGGCCCTGTTCTCGTTCTTTGTGGTTTAATCTCATTTCTCATCTGAGCCGAAGGATCGTAACTAGCCTGTATCAGGGACTTAGCATTCTAGGTACTTCACATACCTTAATTCGTCTAATTCTCAAAAGTAAGTCTGTCACGGTCAGTCGCATTGTACGCGTGAGGAGCCAAGGCTGAGCGAGGTGAGTCTCGCTGCACACACACACACTCCGCGTCTGTCCCAGTGCAGCGCCCGGCCAAGGGGCCGCCTCTTCCTCACCCCGAAGGTTTCCACACCCCTCACGGTCAGCTGGTAGCTGAGTCTTGCCCATCATCACAAGGCCAGTCTCCTGCCACTTGGGGGCCACGCTGTATTATTGGTTCAAATGCAGCCTCATGTGAAGCCTCTTCATTCCGCATACAGTGGGGGACTTTATGTTTATTTTCATTTAATTTAATCCTAGGTGCTTCATTCAATCTGAATTTTGTTCCTACATCTTGCCTAGGATTTTCACACACCTTTGTGTCATGTTCATATTTTAAAAACTTGCCTCCTGTTTTTTTACCCCAGTTGTTGCTCAATGCTAATTTGGACGGGGTCAAAGACTCTCCCAGCCTGGTTTAAACTAGCCATAAATTCCATTTCATCCTATTCATTGTCCACATGCTGTAGTTATATGGAAGACATAAAGTTGATTTCTTGTTGAAATCAACCTATGTTGAATTTAAATAAGTTCTTTCATTTATGTCAGTAATAAGCTTGTCCAGAAAGGAAATGACAGCACTTTAGCATAAATTGCTTCTAATGAACCTCATAATAAAAACCAGATTTTACCCCCAATACTTTTAATAGACTGAGCCAATATCTAACTTAGAAAACAAGATTTTGTTTTCTCTTAAAAAACCCCTGGAAGCATGGAAGCTGTAAGGTTTGCCAGAAGTTGTTTATCTGGAATATTTATTTTCTGACTAACTCCCACTAACCCCCCAGTGCATCCCTCCTGCTGCAGGGAGCAGGGGTGAGAAGCGGCAGGGCCCAGCAGCCGGTTAAGGCTGCCTTCATTTGGAGTCTGGGCTCTGGACACGTACTCGCTTTGAAGAGTTTCACATGGGTATGGCATTACCTTTCTTATCCTCTGTTAGAAGTCGCTCTAGTCTGCCTGTACATTTGCCTTTTTTCCTTTTAATAAGTTCGAGGAGTTTCTTGACCTGCCACAGTAAAGACGAAGAGAGTTAGCAATTAGAGTGCCGCGTGGCCTCTGAGGAGCACAGGGAGAGAGAACAGAAGGAACGCGAGAGGGAGTGCATGTTTGGAACCCCAGAGGCATTTCTTTAAGACATTTTTCTTGTGTGAGTAGATACACCACTTTGCTATAGACTGGCATTTGAGGGAGATGTGGATGGAGAGGGTGGCCAGTGACAGGAAGTTAGGAGCCAGAATTGAGGAGAAGCAGGAGGAGGGGCTAAGGACAGAGACAGCAGGTGGGGAGGTCCGTGCTGCCAGCCTCGCTGTGCCCCTGTGTTGAACTCGCAGTCTTGGGTCCCTTGTCTGCAGACACCCCGGGACAGGCCCTGGGAGATCTGGCGCAGGGGCTGCACCAGCCCGGTGCTGTGAACACCAGGCCTCCATGAATCCCCGAGTTTATACTGACCAGTAACTGTAATTCTCATGAAAGCATTTTGTCAACCATGCAGTGTGGGGGACCTCGGTTGTTCGGAGGGCCCAGGGCTCCTGGGCACAGCACTCTCTGTCTGGATCCTCCTAGGGACACGCTCCTCTTGTGTTGCCATGTTACAGTTTTCTTGCCCTTTATGACAGTGACTTGTCCTCACGCACAGCTCTCTCAGCCTTCCCAGGTGGCCACTGCTGCCACTGTCTCTGCTGGGAGAGCATTCTCCCGGTGTGTCTCTCATCCACTGTCCCTTTCCAAGTGTGCCTTCTACCTGTCTTCCATGTCTCTGCTCCACGTGTGTCCTCCTGCAGCCATACCAGGGTGCGAGCCCAGCACGCGTTGGTTGTATGCCAGACACACTTAACGGTGGGGCTAGTTCCTGGCCATGCTGCCCCCTTCAGGAGGTCAGGCTCATGGCACGCTTGTAGCTGTATTTCTGGGTGCCTGAGATCTCTTCAGTGTAGAGATGGGGGTTATGTATCATTCACATTGATTCCCAGTGAGCTACTAGCATCCCAGGGATTGATAAACTATATGGCTCATGGGACAGCGGTCAGTTGCCACCTATTTTTTTTAAAAGATTTATTTATTTATTCATACAGAACTGGGGTACAGGCCAGAGATGCGGAGGGTGAGAGGATTCACCAGAGACAGAGCGGGGAGCAGAACAGTCAGATCGACGAAGTACACTGCTGAGGGGAGCAGCGGGCGGGTCAGGAGAGGTCTGCCACACCATGTGGTCACCTCCGGGGCAGGCGAGAATCGAACTCATGAGGAAGCGGCTTTAGATTCTCAGTGCTGTGCTTTAACCCGCTGCGCCACCAGGGAGGGCCTGCCACCTATTTTTGTAAGTAAAGTTATACAAAAGCATGCCATGACCTCTGTGTGCTTGCTACAGCCGCAAGGGTCAGTGGTTATGACAGATGGGGGCTTGCAAAGCCTGCAACAGTTATTTTCCAGTTTCTCGCAAAGAGCCTGCTGACCTCTGTCCTAACGAGAGGGCCAGCCCGATAGTCAGTGTGCCAGGAACAGGGGTGTTACATTCCCAGTTGCCTCTGGAAACCTTTCGAATTTAGTTCGAGTACCTTGATCTCACATGTGAGACACAACTGTAGATGGTGTGTGCAGCGAAGGCATCAGAGGTTGAACCCTCCGGCTCACGAGGCTGGTTAAAACACATAGTGATTGCTTTGGTTGATGTGCTTTTTGAGGCCTTTCATTCCATTTTTTTTCCCTTTTTTTTTCTTTCCCTTTCCCCTCCCCTTGCAACCAATGAAACAGGTTTGAGTTCCTCAGCAACCTCTATAGCAAATAATCCCCGGGGAGAAGGGGAGCTCCACCTTGGAGACCGAGTGCTGGTGGTCGGCCAGAGGCTCGGCACTGTGAAGTTTTTTGGGACAACAAACTTTGCTCCAGGTAATACATCGGCTTATTCCGTGCTCAATTTGAATTCTTTAGACTACCACAGGTTTCAGATTCTCCATCATTCTAGCACCTTCGTCCTCCACCGTTGTGGGTGGTCAATGAACAAAACTCACTGTTTTTCGGCAGGTTGACTTTTACCCACAGGTTTTTCTGCCTTTGTGTTAGTTGTTGTCTAGTATTAAAAGTTGTTGTCACTCTCCATTGCTACTTCACTGATTGCCACATGTGCTAAATGGGAGGGAAACGTATCAGGATTAGACTCTTGCTTTGAGCATCGTCTTTGTAGTGAGTAGCTAAGGAGTTGACTGTGTGTGCGTTCACCCCATGGACTTGGTGACAAAAGCCCTCATGAGGGTTCAGAGGAAAGCGAGGAGGCTGTTGACCCCAGGGCCTTACAAATACACACTTACGTGCTCATTTTATTCCAGGCATAACACTGTGCTTCTGAAAGTAAAGGTGGTTTTTCTTCTGCGTTTTCATTGGTTACATTTTAAACTAGAAGCCAGTTGAATGAAGCCGTGTTTGTATGTTTTAAACAGCAGTATGCTATTTTGACACATGGTGGCATTGCAGCATTTTAGGAAAGTTACCTACATCGCTGATTTTTAAAAGGTCTCTAGCAAGACCTCTATCAAGAACGGGCAGGGATCTAAAATCCTGCTTGTTGCAAGCAAGACGCTAGATTGGTCCAGCTTCCTGGATCCACCACTCGGTCTTGGGCTCTTGGGTCAGAGACAGGACAGAGGTGCTCGAAGCCACAACAGCACCCAGGGGAGCAGCACTCTCGGCACTGTTCCCAGAGTGGTGGCAGAGCAGGCCTGGGGGTGCCGGTGCTGCAGCTCGTGTGCAGAGAGGAGCCCTGAGCTGAAGGAGCCTTTACTAGCCGGGCAACATGCCTAGTGCTGTTCTGTGGTGCCAGGGACTGGCTCTGGCTTTCCAGTCTGTCCTGGTCCGGAACATCCGTGGGGAGGCGGTGCCTCTGTCAGAGGCACCCAGAGACAGGGTGCCATGGAGACTCGCCTCCCAGCACAGCCTTATTCATGAACACTGGCAGTTGCAGCACAACTGTGTGATTTGAGAGGAGGGTTGTGTCGTATGGTTCATCGCTCTCTTGGGTCTCCAGGTGGTGACTGCTGAGTTAGGTGATTCTTGATCATATTCTTCAGTGAAAACTTAGGAATCCTGAAGGTGGGAAGTTGTTCACAATCTCCATGGCTTTTGAGTTCCTTTCTCGGCAAAGGACAAAGCTAGGGCGTTTGACTTGCCAGGTGCAGGTGATCATTTTAGCTTGACTTTTAATTTTTCAGTTGCTAGTGTGATGCATTTAGAAATTTGGAAGTCATAAGCGAAGATAATACAAGCTTTGTTAAAGTCATTCTGCTCTTTTTAGAGAATAGTAGCCTGTATTTCTGGGGACATCAAAATTAGATGGACCAGTTCTGTAGAACAATGGTAATAAGGAGATGTTTTGTTGATTATAAGACCTCAACCTGAGAGAGGTCATGCCTAGCCTCCTGAGCATTTTTATTGGTGCTACTGAAAGCAAACTGCCGTTTCAATGGGGAGGTACCTGTGCCTCCAGATACTTGGAGAGACAGAGTCTGTCTGTTCTTGTCACACTCTGAGCGGTTGTTTTCAAGAGTTATACAGTAAGCATTTAGCAATGGGAAGGTGCAAGAATTATAGAGGGAGGCATCAAAAGTAGGAGGAAGTAAAACTTGGAGAGCCAATTGTGCACTTGGAGAAGTAACACTGGCAACCAGACTACCCTGGTTAATGACGGCCAGAAATGTGCTGACATATTTTCAGAGCATGGTTGTGGCTACCGTGTCTGTCTGTACACATTACTCTGGTTTGTGTTCGTAGTAGGGCTGATAAAGTACAAAAGGCAGTGGTCATGCCTAAGTCTTTGAACCCAAACTAAAGTGTCTGGAAATGGGTTCAACATTGTTTGAATGAAAGAGGGAAGAAAATTAAGAACTTGTTAGTTGTCTTTTTAGAGGATATACAGTTGACCTATTGAACTAGTAATTGGAAAGTATTTTTACATTTTGGAATTTGTGAGCTTCACTAAGTTTCTCCATAACTATTGTATTCTAATTTTTTCATATGATTCTGATTGTGGGAGTCAAATACAATTACTACTGTAGTATCCTTTTAAGTTAAAAAAATACATGGACTATGAGTTTTTAAATTGATTTTGCATCCCTCCCCCCCCCCCCCATTTGAGAATCCTTACTTTAGGAGTATATGTCCATTCACTTAATATTTACTGCGCAAAAACAACCCCACTATTTTAATTTTAGGCACTGTAGTAAAGGAAATGTTATTGCTTTCTTCCAAGTGGGCCCTTTTAAATACTTAAAAGCCTTTTAGAAAATTCTTCCCATTAGCTAACCTAAATCTTTCCATTTAGTTTAAAAATGATTTTTCATTTCATCTTGGGCGCAAAAAAAAAATGCTAAGAAGAGTTACCACGGCTTCTAGTCTTATTTCCCATGTTATTTTGTCCTTCTTTAATTATTTAAGACCTGCTTTTGTTGTTCTAGTGTTGGGAAAGTAAAATAGCAAGATTGCATATTCATTTTATGACTTACATGTCTCAAAATTACGCTACACTTCTCTGACTTATGCACTCTGTTATCAAGTTAAAGACTGTCTCTTGTTCATTAGCTTTTAGATATATTTTGGTCAGACACTGCTTGCATAATAGCTAATCCTTGCGAAATCTGTGTTTGTGCATTTTAGCTTCCTCCCTTAATGTACTACTCTGTAATTAGGGTTCTCAAATGTTTTTCCTGTTCACTTTTCAAATTTTATTTTATAATTTTATCATTTGAAAGCTTAATGATCATGATGATTATCCATCATTTCGGTCATTTGTGAAAATGTTAAACCATCTTAGACTTCGGGTTTGTATAACAGCTTAACAATTTTGTATAGAGTGCAGATGATTTTAATCCACCCCGTGTTCCTGTTCTAGGATATTGGTACGGTATAGAGCTTGAAAAACCCCATGGCAAGAACGATGGTTCCGTTGGAGGTGTGCAATATTTTAGTTGTTCTCCAAGATATGGAATATTTGCTCCCCCATCCAGGGTACAAAGGTGAGAGAAATGGCTTTCCTGTTTATTCCCAAGAACTTTTTTTGGAGTTCCTAATTTTGTACAGAGGACATGCGCTGACTTCAGCTCGTGTTTTCTTTCAAGGGGTTAACCAACCACCTTCTTCAGAGAGAAGGCTCATGGAAAGCTAAATTTGCTTTGCTGAGGATTTGCAATTTTAAAAACCTCCTTTTATTCCTCATTTGCAAACCCTGTGAGTATGTGTAGGCTATTAGAAGTGGCGTTTGCAGCTAAGAACAGTGAGAGCAGCAAGCTTAATCTGTCATGCAAACAAAAGTAAAAATGCTCTCTGATTGCTTCAGTCACATCCTAACTACATTAAATTTCCTGCCAGCAGGCACCCCATTCATTCTCCTGCAAACCTAATGGAACCAAAATGGCTTTTTCCTCTGATTTCTTTAGTTTTCAAAAATAGATAGGCAGTAGATCTTTGGGGGAAGTGAAGCTTCAAGGATTTATATATGATGTACCTCCTCAGTGTTTCTTCTGAAGGTAGTGCACTTCGGTGCCAGCTTGTGTGGTTTTAAAAAATAAGTTGAGCAGAAACAAGACCTCTTGAAATCCCAAGTAACATTATATGACATGATGTATGTGCTGAAAAAGTTGATTTATCAGTGATTGAGACATGAGATACTAATATTTAAATATGAAATAGCAAATGTGGCATAATCATATTCATAGGAATAGATCTGTAATCACAGACTTGGAATTCTGTCTGGGTATTCTTTCAACTAGACCAGTGGCTGCCTCTGATTGGCAAGGCTATCAGTTTTTATAGTCATTTTCTGTTTTTCTTATTGATTAACCACATATACTTTTTGTATTTCCTTCTTCTGTGATTGAATTGATATATTTTTTCCTTAATTATGATAAAAAGTACTTACCAAGTAATGCCCTGCTGTGCATAAAGTATCTTTGATTAAATGTTGTTTCATTTGCGTCTCATAAATATTTGGTTAAGTAAGCTGGAAAATAGCAATAATTCTTGCCAGCACTTACTGAGAATTCAGTAAGTGGCAGGCTCTGTACCATGGTTTATAACTGCACAACTCATATCCCCCCCCCCGCCTCCTGCAAGATATAAGGTGTTATGATCATTCTCATTTTGCAGATAAAGAAAATTTCCAGAGATAAAGTCACTCACCCAAAGCCATATAGCTAGAGTAGAGAAAGCTACTTTCCTTCCTTTCTGGGGGTGTCGATGAATTAAACTGGTGACCACAGGAGACAAGGTGTACACATTTACTAAATTCTAATTTTACGTGCCTGTGGGAATATTAAAGAAATGAATGCCCCAAAGAGTGGTGAGATCGGAGCGCTTGTACACCTTCTTGAAGGGGGAAGGGAGGATGAGAAAGGCCGCTGAGGACGGCGAGCAAGTGGCTGTGAAAGATAACTGGGTCCTTAGGAACAGGGTGGGGGACAGGAGAGCTGGTTTACTGCCCTGATTGTGGGGGGTGGTGCTGCTTCCTTTCCCCTTTCTGGCGACAAGTGGCTCTTCCCTGGTGATGCAGCTTCTGGGGAGGGGACTTAAGACAATTCTTTTTTTCAGACGATCTGTTTTAGGCAGATACAGGGAGTTCAGAGAAAGCCACTTGCTGCACTTGGTGCCCTCAGGTGTCTTGATGGGGGCGGCCACTTTTGATCTCCTCCACTAGTCAGTCAGCTAACCACAGGCTGGACTCAGCCAGGTTTGTTATTTTGTTGTTTACTGGCAGTCTTTTTTTTTTTTTTTTAAAGATTTATTTATTTGTGCATACAGAACTGGGGTACAGGCCAGAGGCTCAGGGGCGGCCAGAGGCTTCACCAGAGACAGAGTGGGGAGCAGAACAGGCAGATCGACGAAGTACACTGCTGAGGGGAGCAGCGGGTGGGTTAGGAGAGGTCTGCTACGCCATGTGGTCACCTCCGGGGCAGGCGGGAATCGAACCCATGTGGAAGCGGGCTTTAGATTCTCAGTGCTGTGCTCTAACCCGCTGCGCCACCAGGGAGGGCCTGGCAGTCATTTTTTAGGGGAGGAAGAGCAGAGTAGCTCAGGAATTGAGCTTGTGCTGCGCTGGGCAGGCACTAAGTGCTGGAAGCATGTTCATCCTCTGCAGAAGCCCTGGGGGCAGGCGCTGAGGTTTTTCACTCTCCCAGAAGAGCAAGGGAAGAAGATTAGAGAGGTTAAGTCAGGCGTGCAAGTGTGCTCAGCAGCCAGGGTGAGGTGGGTGGGGGGGATTTGAACCCAGGCACTCTCATATCAAAGCATGTGCTCTTAACTAGCCATTGCTCTGTGATGGCTCCGAGAGACTCTGACCTCCTTCAGGACTGTGTCTTCTAGATGATTCATTTGGGAGTAAAACTGCCACTGCATCACCAGTCCTCTGGCTCCTCACGTTACTTTGGACATGTGTATGTAAACATAGCTCAGGTCTCTTCCATGCTTTATGTGTCTCTGGGTGGGGGGTTGGGTGTGTGTGTGTGGCTCTTTCCATCTACGATTACCAGGAAAACATAGCTTGGCATGTTGCAGACATCAGCACAGTAGACATTGATCAAATCTAGTTGAGTGCTTTTTATGCTGTAACAGCTTTTCTTTTTTATATTGTGAAACTACTTTCTTTCTCATGGTTTCATCCTATTTTCCCCTTGCCTTGTTTATGAAACCTGTATTTTTTTTACTCCCCTTCCTCTCTCCCTGGACTTCTATTTGGGCTTCTTTAAGGTGATTGATTTAAAGGCAGCCCCCTCCTCTCAAAAGAAACAGACTGTCTCTCTAAATGAACTGCTGTCTCGATCCAGCTGTCTTCCTGTCATCTTCTGATTGTCTCATTCATCACCATCAAATACTATTAAGTGTCTTTTAGCACTTTGTGCTGTGCTAGGCATTCTATAAGCAAATAAAACAGACATGGTCCCTGATTTTGAGGAGTTTCTAATTTAAACCAGCTTTGGAGCTCTTTCAAGACACTACTGGTCTTGACAAAGGACAAAATTTAAATTAGGGCCTGCTTGAGGACAGTCTTAATAAAGTAGCGCCCTGGCCCGGCGCCCCCACCTCTCACGCCTCCCTAATTGGGCCTGGCCTTCTCCTTCCATTGGAAAAAATGTGCCTCCTGCCCCAGAATTGTCGCACACGTTATTTTCTCTGCTGTCACCCGACTTACATGTAGTTAATGCTTTTCCTTCTATTCACATATAAACCAGCTGTTATTTCTCTAGAGATATTATAAGAAAATTCACTGACGAGATGTAATATTTCTCTCCCCCTCCTCCATTTTTTGCTCAAGTGGTCTTCATTAGCACAGTGTTCGTTTTCACTATTCACACTCTCAATCTCACCACTTCACTACTACTGGAATAGATCACTTTTAGAATTAAGTCTCAACTGTCTGTCACCACTTAATTTGAGTGTGTCTTCTTCAAGTCATGTTCTTTGTGTTCATCAGTTTCTCAGTAATTGCTATATGTTGTATATCATGTAAAAATTATACATATGAATGATAAGATGAAATTGCAATATTGCAAGAATTGCAGGATTTCTTGATAGTAGCAAAATATGCCAGAGGAAGTGACTGACAGAATGAAGACATGGCAGACTTAGGTCAGTAAACAATGGAAAGAAAATGAGATGGTTAAGGTCAGCTCTTTTAAAAGAAAAAAATGATTTGAGTACCAAAAACATAAAGACAAATGTGTTTAGAAAGTGACCTTTCTGGTTGTGCTTTTCAGTAAAATATAGAGAGTAAAAGATGTTGAATTCGTGTTTCCCATACGATTTTATGGGAAAAAACACACAAATATCCAGATAGACTCAACCTCTCTTTTGTTTGCAACTTAAGAATTATTGATATTTCTACAGTTATAGTCTAATATGTGTCAAACTTAATATGAACTAAATTAACTTCCATCTCATTAGCTTGATCTTTGAAGATCCCAAAGAAATAAAGTAAGGTGACTATTTTTAGTGAATTCACTTGACTTTTTTCTGTACTAATTAAGTTTTGATAGCAAGGGCCTCTTCTATTTGTTGTTTGTCTGTGATGCTAGATTGACTTTTATTCCTGACTCATAGTAGATGCTTAGTAAGCGTGTGACCGATGGGTGATGAAAGAAATAAGCCTTGGCCTGAAAAGCTCATGAAGAGTCAGCTGTGACCATGGGGACCTGCTCCTTGCAATGAGCTGTGTGTTGCTTATTTTTCTCTGCAGAGTAACAGATTCCCTGGACACACTCTCAGAAATTTCTTCAAATAAACAGAATCATTCTTATCCTGGTAAGATAACACATTTTTATTCCTAACAATTTTTCCTTTCCTTTTATTTATTTAAAAATGTTTATTGGGAAGGGAGTGTATATACCCAGAATGTGTTTGCAATGTTATATTAACTGTAGTCAGGCACTGGCTGCCCCCTCCCTGACTGGCAGCAATGGTCACCTGTACTCCAGGTCCTTAGCCAGCGCCCCATGCCTAACACCCACAGCCTTTACTGCCTCCCTTTTCTTTTCTTTAGTTTTCTTTTTTTAAATACTCTTTCCTCGGGGTATGAGTCTTGCATTGTATGTTCATTATTCCTTTGATCTTTTTTTTAAAGAAGATTAATTTATTTATACATACAGAACTCTGGGGTACAGGCTAGAGATGCAGGGGTGGTGAGAGGATTTACCAGAGACAGAGTGGGGAGCAGAACAGGCAGATCAACAAAGTACACTGCCGAGGGGAGCAGGAGGTGGGTTAGGAGAGGTCTGCCGCACCATGTGGGTCACCTCCTGGGCGGGGATTGACTAGCACCAGAGTGGCTAGTGGCTGCATGCTGCGTCCACACCTGTTGTTCCACCAGGGAGGGCCCGCCTTTGATGTTCTTTATGTCTTTCTCACTTTAGACATAATAATGAATCATATTCATTCTGACTCTTTGCCCTTTTTAGTGCTCCTTTGCAATATACTATTCATTCTACACTTGATGAACACTTGGGTTATATTCTGTTTTTTATGATTGTAAGCTATGCTCTCATGCACCTTTGCAAAAGCTTCTCCAGGGTTGCCAGTACAGGGTATGCTGGTCTTCAGCCTGCTTAGGGAAAGCCAGGCTGCCTGCAGTGCTCTCTGTGGTTCCTCACCACACCAGCACTCGTCTTGTTTGATTAAGGAAACTTGCTAATATTATGGATTTCAGTGGCTTCTCACTGGTTTGGGTTCTCGTTTTCCAGGTCATGACGGAGGCTGGGCCTATTGTCATGTTTATGGGCCATATGTCTTTCCTCTTTTATTTGTGATGTGCCTGTTCAAGTGTTTTGCCCATTTTTCTTTTGGGGAGGTGTGTCTCTATCTTGGACTAATTTATATGCTCTTTATTTTGGACACTAATACACTGCCATTTATTTATGCCATTTGTTTTCTATTCTTGTTCAATTTCCTTATATAGTATTTCTTCCTTGACTTTTCTCTTACTGTATGTCTATCCTCATTTTTCCCTTCTGTTCTCTACTTGTATAAAAGTCATACTCTGAATGTTCTTAGTACTTAACTATAGGTAGATTGACATGCATAGTTAGCAACGTCTAAAGTTAATCATCATTTTTATTCTTTCCCCAATAATAGAAACAATCCTTAAAAACAGTCTGGTCCTCTATTTTCATCTCCCTTTGGTCTGATGATAGTAGTTTTCTGTATTCAGTGTTTAATCAATATTTATTTAATATACTCATATATTTACCAATATCTTTAGTCATCTTTGACTTGTATTAGTTTGTTTATTCTTTAAAGTTTCTTTCAGAAAGGGTCTGTTATAGCAGACTTCACGGCTTTGTCTTTCCTAACAATAGTTTTACTGAGTAAACCTAAAAATTGGTAAAAATTTTAGTTTGAAAGCTATTTTCTCCATGCACGTTGACAGTGTAATCATACTGTTTTCTGCCTTCTGTCATTTTTTTGAGAAGCCAGCTATAAATCTATCTAATCCATTCTTAGAAGGCGATTTTTTCTGGACTGATTTTAAAGGTTTTCTCCACTTCTCTTGTGTACAGTTTCTCTGTGATGTGTCTAGGTGGAGCTTTCTTGTTGTTTATCCTGTTTGGCACCATGGGTCTTCCTGGACCAGGGAGTTGGTCTTTTTGATCAATTCTGTTAAATTCTTGTCTGTATACTTCAAGTATTTCCTCCTTCATTCTTCTTATTTCCTCCTGAAACTTGATGCATAGTAGAGGAAACTTTTCTCACTTTCTCAGGCCGCTTTCATATTTTTTTGCAACTTTGACTCTCTAGACTGCTTCGTGGATATCTTCAGATTTATTTTTCTGCTTCCCGACCCTTTCATTCTTTATCGGGCTGCTTATTCCAGCCCTGACGTTTTTAATGATAAAACTTTTTTTCTTACACAGCTCTGTTTGGTTGTTACTGTTTATTCTTTCCTCATGTTCCCAAGTTTTCTTTTATGTCCTTAAACATTTAGAATATTGTTTTATTTTATGTTAAATAATTCAATCGCTGCAGTCTCTGTGAATCTGATTCCACCATCTGTTTCTGTTGAGCCTAACTTATGGCATCTTCCTTTCTTTATAGTTTTGTCATTTGTTATGGTGAACTGCGTCTTTTACTCAGAACTTCATGCATGGGAATTCTTTGAGGCTAGGCTGATGGCCTCAGAGAAGATGATATTTACTTCCGCCAGTGGCCTGGAGGTGCTGTCAGTCTGAACTGCTTTAATTTATATTCTCTACAGTGATGTTATGAGATAACTTGCCCTTGGTTTACGATCATGGATGTACACGAGTCTGGCGTATGTTCACAAATTCTGAGGAGAGAAAATGTTGCTGCCTTTGCAGCATTAACATACAACACAGGCCCTTTTTCTTCATCTTCATCTGGGTGGTATTTTGTTTCCTTTCTCACGTGGCCTGACACCCAGGCTGAGACATCTGGGACCCTCATGTTAGCCAGGTGTTGCTTGCTGGAGTCCGCACCTCGTAGGTCCTGGGCTTTGCGTCCTTCTCTGCTGTCTGAGCAGACATGCCACGCAGGTGGAGGAGGGAGTCCCTGGGACTCAGCAGTGGCCCTGTGGGCAGTGGGACACAGAGACTGTGTGGCCACCTCTCGTGGCTCCTCTTTATGGCTCTTGGCCTCTGGGACATCATGCCTTGTGTCAGCTCAGAAGTCTCTTTTTAAAATCATAGTTGTCTTAATTTAGTCACTTTAGCCAAAAGCTCCATGCTGCTCCTCGGCCCCACCAAAGCTGCCCTAGCTGGCAAGCCCCTTCTTTTGAAACTCAGCTTCCTGAAGTCATTTTTTTTTCTTTTAATAACTCATCTTGGGATGACGGCAATCATAAGCTCTGAAATTTACTTTTTACTATTTAACAAATGGGCTATCTTTAAGATGTGACCATTTTTAAAACTATTTTTATCCTTTTCCAAGTTTTGTTGAGATTATAATATTGGTGAGTAAAAAGAGCCAGTTTTCTCAGCGAAGGATTCAGTTTTATTTGGTTCTCAAGTAATCTTATCATAAAGACTGCTTGTAATCTGTGTCCTTTGTAACATAACATAATGTCCTTGACCCGTCCATTTACTTACATGATTAAATTGATGAACAAACTAAGGTAGAAATATGTCAAGAAAATGAATTACTATTACATTCTGTGTGTGCATGTTTTGTCTTTTTTATTTTCAAAGAAATATTTGATGCAAGCACACCTGGGACGACACTGCAGGTTCAATCTGGACCAGCAGGCCAATAGATGACAATAATTTGTAGTTTATTATGGTAAATTCCCATGAACTTTTTGGTTTCCCAGCGCATGTAAAAGTGATGTTCACTGTAGTCTGTTAAGTATCCAAAAGGACCATGTCTAGAAAAAGAAAAAAACAACACAGTGTCTATGCCTCAATTAAAAAACGCGCTGCTGCTCACCAATGCTAACATTATCTGACCCTTCAGTGGGTCGTCATCTTGTTGCTGGTGGAGGGTCTGGCCCCGTTGTCGAGGCCTGGGTGGTGCCTCTGGAGAAGCTGACAGGTCAGGAGGGGGGTAGCAGTTTCTTAAAACAAGACGAGTGAAGTTTGCTGCATTGATTGATTCTTGTCTTGAGAGATTTCTCTGTAGTGTGTGATGCTGTGGTAGCATCTTACCCCAGAACTTCTTTCAGAATCGGAGGCAATCCTCTCGAGCTCTGCTTTATCAACTAAGTTTATCTTACAGCCTAAGCCCTTTGCTGTGCCAGCATGTTCACCGCCGCTGTGCCAGGCGTAGACTCCAGCCCAGGAAACTGCTTTCTTTGCTCACCCACAGCAGCCTCTCCCCAGCTGTTGGCAACGCCACGAGAGCATAGCCACCCGCTCACACCTTCACGGTCTGCATCTCATTCTTGTCTTTAGCTCTGCCCCTCACACCTGCAGTCACTTCCTGCACTGACATCTTCAACCCTCAAAGTCATCACTGAGTGGAATCAACTTTTTCTAACTCTGGTTGTTGCTCTTATTGTTGATATTTCTACCTCCTCCCACGAACCACAGGTGTTCTCAGTGGTATCTAGAAAAGTGAATCCTTCCCACAGGTCTTTAGTTGACTTTGCCAGTTCCGTCAGGGGAAGCACTTCCTCTATACGACAACGAGAGCCTTACAAAGTGATTTCCTAAATAAGTCCTGAAAGTCTTGAATCATACGTCAGTAGTCAGAATGAATTCTTGACTCACGAGCTATGGAAAGAATGTAAAAACACCCACGACATGAACACAACACTGATCTCATCTCCTGTTCATCTCCATCAGAGCTCTTGGGACTCTGGGTGTATTGTCAATGAGCAGTAATTTTTTTAAGAGAGATTTCATTACTTTTGCACAGAAGAGCTGGGATGTACATCAGAAGTCAGTGTGTGGGTTGGGGGAGGGGCGTAGTGAGAGGATTCAGCAGAGACAGAGCAGGGAGGAGAGCAGCAGATCTACTGAAATACACCTCTGAGGGGAACAGCCAGTGAGACAGGAGAGGTCTGCTGTGCCATGGGGGGTCAGCTCCCTGGCCAGGGATCAAACTTAGGCCTTCACGATGATAGCACTGAGACTTAACCGTTAGGCCACCAGGGAGGCCCCAAGCAGTAATGATTTGAAAGAAATCTTTTTCTGGGCAGTAGGTCTCAAGAGTGAATTTAAAATATTCAACCATGTTGAAAACGGATATGTGGTCACCCAAGCTTCCATGTCTTCATTTATAGAGCACAGAGTATATTTAGTAGCATTTTTAAGGGACCTAGGAATTCAGAAAGGTACAGAGCATTGGTTTCAACTTCAGGTCACCAGTTGTGTGTAAGACCCCAACACGGAAACCTGCATGTCGAAGCTGTGAAGCATTGATTTCCCCTTCTAGCTGTGAAATTCCTAGATGGCATCTTCTTTTGATATGAGTGTTTAATATACATTGGAAATCTTTTTGGCCACCTTCGCCAGTTATCTTAGCTTGACAGCTAAGAACTTGACAGCTTCTACATCAGCATTTGCACTTTTGTGTGATAGAGAAGACTTTTTGCCCTTAAGTCTCATAAGCCAGCCTCTGCTAACTTCATGCTTTCCTCCTGTGGCTTCCTTACCTCACTCAGCCTTCATAGGATTGAAGAAAGTTAGGCCCTTTCTCTGGACTTGACTTTGGCTTAAGGGAATGTTGTGGCTGGTTTGCTCTTGTATCCAAACCACTAGAAGTATCTATGCATCAGCAGTAAGGCTGTTTTTCTCTCTTAGCATTCATGTGGTCATTGGAGTAGCTGTTTTAATTTCTTCCAAGAACATACACATTTACCGATTACGTTCACTCTCACAGCTCATGGACTCCCCAGACAATTACAGTGGTAACATCCAAGATCAGTGATCACAGATACCAGATATTGCCAATAGCGCCAAGTCTGAGGTGGTGTGAAATTTACCAAAATGTGACACAGGGGCTTGAAGTGAGAACTGCTGTTGGAAGATGGCGCCAGGAGCCTCAGCTCTGCGTGGCCACAAATCTCCCATTCATCAAAGGCACAGCATCGAAAAGAGGGGTACACCTGTGGGAGGGACTACGGGAGAAGTGATGAAAGGGGACTTTTATAAGAACTGAAAATTCGTGTTATTTTCCCTCTTCTGACCTTAACTTTCATATTTAGGTTTTAGGAGAAGTTTCAGTACAACTTCTGCCTCTTCCCAAAAAGAGATTAACAGAAGAAATGCTTTTGCCAAGTGAGTATTAAGAAGATTTAGAAAAACACCTTTCAAGATGAACATGATGGGATTCTATGAAGGAAGAGAAGTGGAATTTTATTTCTTTTCTACTGCTTGGTAGCATTTTAACACTTAGGAGAAAAGGTGTGATGAGTGTATTGAGAAGAGTTCTTCCCCCCTCCTCGGCAAGCTCAATTAAAAATGTCACCAGTGACTAAAGTAGTATGCTGCGTATATTTTCAGAGGGTTAGTGTTGTTAATAAAAGTTGGAGGAATTTGCACTTTGTGTTGTCACTGTGTAGGGCGAATTGATTTTAAACTGTTTACTTCGTTAGTCAGAGATTCAATTTAATATTTTCAGCAATACATGAAATGTCAGACCTATTTGCATAAAGTTCTTATCGTTTAAAAACTCTGCTTCATTTTGTGGAAGCACAGCTCAGAGAGCTTTTGTGTAAAGAGAATGTCCATTTCTTGTTTTCATTTATAGTTATTTCCTCTGTACTCACTTTATTCCCCTTGATTGTTTTCTGAGATATATATATATATATATATATATATATATATATATATATATATATATATATATATATATATATATATTACTTTTAGGGATTTTCTGAACTGACTGGGTTAAAGAGTTTTTTGTGTGTTTTTTTTAATCCTTCAAATTTATGGCTCACGCTGTGGAGGAATAGAGGGCCTCTGAGTAGGGAAGTGCGCACCCTGACTTAACTACTAGGAGTCCATGAGGCCCCAAGCACCAGGACTTGCCCCCGCAAGCAGGGAAGGTACATAGTGATCGGGCTGAAGGGGTTGAGGAGTCTTCTCAAGGACCTGAAATTTCCCTTGGGGACCTGGCTTATCCCAAGGGCCATTAGGTTTAGCAGGCTTGGGTGGGTCCTTTTCCCCCTTTCTCAAAACCTTTACCAATTTTGAGGATTTTGAAATTGGTCTTCTCACTTGAGTGGCTGAAAGACTTAAGGGCAGAACTCTATGCTCCAGTTTACTGAAGACTGATTCAAGAGTTCTTAAGCAAAATGGAAGACCTTACTGAGAAGAGACCGCCAGGATGCCAAGGATCCTGCAGGGGGAGGTATGACAGTCAGTGTTGAGACTGTGGTGCGTGGCTGCGTGTGGCCCAGAGAGGCAGAGCCGTGGCAGGGACACAGCAGGTGTGGCGACGTCAGGGGCTGTGGGCTCCAGAAGAGAGTAGCAGTGCTTGCAAAAGAAATGAAGCTGCACTGACATGGGCTCAGATTGACACTACTCTCTTTTAAAACAGAAAGATATTGTTATTGAGAATATATAGTCAGTTTTAAAAAAATTTCCTGTCAGTGTACCTGTAGACCCAAATGTTTGGTGATGAGTATTCCTGTGAACCAAACAAAGACATCAGGTGTTGGCAGATGCTAGCAAATCTGTCCCCAGTCCCCTCTTCCTTAGGGGCGGGAGATGGCCTAGATTTCTAGTCCTTTAGCTAAAGGTAGGGCGTTGGCTGAGTCGGGCTGCGCTGGTCTGAAGGTTGGTGTGTCATAAAGCGCTGGTCTGGCTTGAAAAGTGACTTTACTGGGGTTTCCCAATGCTGTGCCATGCACTGTCTGTTCACAGGAAGCAACCCAGGGACAGCCCAGGGGTCATGCCTGCAGGATGGAGTGCGGGAGGATGGAGGACTTAGCAACTTACCCTGCCATTTCCCTGCAGAAACAGGATTTGCTTTTCTAGATGGTTAATGAGATGGTAGTGATGGGTGCCCTTTAGTCAGTGGGAAAAATGACAGAGGGTTTGGAAGTCATTGTCTCCAGACTTCTTTATGTTGTTAATGTACAGAATGGGATAACACAGAGAGTGAGCTTGACAGGCCTCACAGTCACCCAGTAGGCACAAGGCAGCTTTTCTTACACCATCTCCGTCCAACCTGTGGTCTGTTTCTCACCATGACACACCTCACTCACTCCCATTCTTACTAAATCCAGCTTCTTCCTGCTCTCAGTGTACCTGCTCCAGTCACCAGTGGGTCCTCTCTGTGGAGTCCAGCCTACCGACAACCACAGGTTAGGTCAGCTCAAAATTTGAATGTCTTTAGGTAGAACCCATTTGGTTTGCCTATCCCTTTAGTCTCAAATAGAATGGACTCCAGACTCATTCAGACCTGCACTCAGAAGTGCGCATGATGGGCTCTGGTCTGCTCCTCACCTGCCTCTCATAGTCCTGTCTTCATAAATTACCAGCAGATCACTTTAAAATAGATAGTATATAAATAAAAGTAACACACACATATTTTGCTCTGATAGGACTATCTCTGCTTTCTGTTTCTGCCTTTTCATCTTGCAAGTTAGACCAGCATCACTTCTTCCCTGGACCTTAGGAAACAGATTTCTCCCTTCTCTGTACTCATTCTGCACCTTACACAATCTGCATTTTAGTGTCTGTAACATTCTATGGATTATTCTGCACAAATCCCTAGAACCTAGTCCAGACCTGCCATTTCCTAGGTGATGTGATCAGTTAACATTTTTGATTGAATAAAATGTAGCGTAATTCTAAGTTTTTCACTTCCCTGCGCTTTTAGAGATTTGATATAGGCTGAATAAAATTAATCTAATTAGAACATTAAGCCTTTACCCAAACCATTGATTTTTGGCTTAGATTTTGAATTGATTTTATTGCTTGTTTCTTTAAAAGCTTTTTTGATTGCGAATGTTGATTATATCAAATCTCAAAAATTGTGAAAAGTTAAATGTAGTTAAATATCACCTGTAATTTTACCATCTAGCTGAGATTTTCACTGCTAGCATTTTGATATATTTTCCCCATTTTTTCCCCCTACTGCATATATTTGAATTTTTTTTTTTAGCAACTTGGACAAATCATATTTCATCTACCCTTTGAAAGCTTTCCCCCTTAATCTAGTACATATTCTTAAATATTTTTCCATAGTATGAATTTTGCATCTTTTCCAAAGACCATGCTGTGTTATAAAACATTTTTATGGCATAATAATAAATGACAAAGATCATAATTAAACTAATAGTAGATGCCAAACTTTTGGAATATGTAACTAACAAACTTCCTTCACTCTTTTGTATGTGTGATCAGATAAATCTCCAGCTTTGCATTCTTTTAGTTCTTTCATTTCAATATATGCATTTAATTCTTTATTTAGAATATTCTAAGTGAATATTAAGTATTCTTTTCCCCCAAATAATTTGTATAGCATCCCAATTAAATGTTAATCACCCCTTTCCCACTGATTTGAAGTTTTACTTTATTATCACATTCAAAATGCTTTTTCTAAAATTTCCTGTGTCCATTAAAGGTACATTCTTCTGTCAGAACTATATTCTTTTAATTATTGAAACTTTATAATTGAACATAAAGGCAACATAAGCCTTGCGATATTATTATTTTCCAGCTTTTTTCAATCTTGAATACTCATTGTTGCGAGCGCCTGGCCTGGGTGCTCAGCAGCCTGGGGTCAGAGTCCCCTCTCCTCTTCATCGTCCCTCTGCTCTTCAGCAAATGGCTTCATTTTTCCGAGCTTCAGATTCCTATTTTTAGGAGAAGGTAATAATAGCTACATGATTGGGCTGGGTGAGGTTGAATGAGATAATGTAGGTGAAGTGTGTGGCACAATAAGGCCTCAGGAACTGACATTGTTCTTAGTTATGTGAAATCTAGAGTAATTTTGTCAGGTTGCAAAAAATATCCCTTTGGGGTGATTTTGGGTGAGAGTTGACAGATAAATGTTTCTGTCCAGGAACACAGCTCTTTCATTTTAATTTTGTATTTTCCTCAGTAAAGATTTATACTTTTTCTTATAGGTAGTACATATTTTTTAACTTTATCATTGTATTTATGCATTTGACGTGGAAATAATAACTTTTTCCATTCTATTTTCTAACCTGAAAATATCACCTATTAATATTTCTGAATATTCTAAATAGCTAAAATTAAAAAATTTTAGGTGGCCGAAAATTCTACCACCTTTGGCCAGCGTGGCATAGAAAGGCTTCTGACCTCCTGTTTTCTTGCCCATAAACTTAGAGTGCTTTGCTTTTCTTACAAGGGGTTGTAGAGACTTCTCTTTTTCTCATTAGAGGAAATGAGATATTGTGAGGGATCGTGTTTAAGAAATCATAGAAAGTGGAACAAAATAGAACATAAGCAGGACCTAGACTCTGTTCTTGGTCAGTCTCTGTGTCGTTTTGGTACCTGCTTCTGCTTTGTATCCACACCCGGGATGGAGAAGGGGCGTGGGAGGGGGCACGGCCCCAGGTAGTGTTGGGCGTTGGTGGTGGTTTGTGGGGACGCCCTTTGGGAGTCTCAGGGTTAGGGCCTCGCCATCCCAGTAACGCCTCTCGGGTGGGCGGGCTTCCCGGTCCACTCCTTCTGGTGATGGCCAAGGCGGCCCCGGGGTCCCGGGCCCAGGGGTCCCGCGCCTGAGGCTGTGCTCACAAGAGAGGTTAAACATGTTTAAACTGTTAAATGCGGGTGCAAATACTGCTATTCAGAATTAAAAAACAAAAAACCGCGTGGTGTTCAGGGAGGCTCCCCTGTGAGAGGTGGGCGGGAGAGGCGGCTCGGCGTCACTGAGGACTGTCCGGTTCCCTCCTCACAGGTCCAAGACCGCGCTGCGCCGCAGCTGGAGCGGCAGCCCCGCGGCGGGCGCCGAAGGGGGCGTCAAGCTGCACGAGGGCTCCCAGGTCCTCCTCACCAGCTCCAATGAGATGGGGACCGTTAGGTACGTGGGCCCCACCGACTTTGCCTCAGGGATCTGGCTTGGACTCGAGCTTCGCAGTGCCAAGGGGAAGAACGACGGGGCGGTGGGCGACAAGCGCTACTTCACCTGCAAGCCCCGCCACGGCGTGCTCGTCCGGCCCAGCCGGGTCACCTACCGGGGCATTAACGGGTCCAAGCTCGTGGACGAGAGCGGCTGAGCTAACGATCTGGAAGATTGCAAGGCTCTTGTGCATGTTTAGGCGAGGGCGCCCATGCAAACGGGTTCCTCTATTTAGACACACTGAACTTTCTCGAATGTGTAGACAGCTTCCTAAAACCAGTCATGACAGTTCAGAGACACTTTTGAAAAGCAAGAAGTATGAACGCTGGGAATCACGGTTCTCTTCAAACAACGTCAAAATAAGCATTCGTACAAGCTTGTAAAGCTTTAGACCCAAGAAAATTCTTAGAAAAAAAATATGTGCCATTCGTTTGATGCACGGATGCCGCTGGCTTGATTTCATTCTTGCCAGCATCCCTGGATTTCACATGTGCTAGTGTGGAGGCTTCCATTAGCTTTGGGTCATGGCCTTTTACAGCCAAGTATTTTTGGAGTTTTCTTTCTTTCTGCAAGTATAATAGAGATTGAGTAAGTACAAAAAAGACTAAAAGTAGCTAGATGACTGGTGTATTTTATGTATTTTTCAGAAAAGTGTTTGTCCTTTAAGGACGATCTCATTTAAAGCTATTAGAACTTTGGCGTTGAAGGAGGCAAGAGATGCCTCTGGCCCAGCCTCTGGCCCATGCCACATGCAGAAACTAGAGCCTAAAGCCTCTTCCTAGCTCAGTGACTAATTAGTCCGTTAACAGAGCTAAGAATAGAAAGTGGGACACCAGACCTGTGGCTTATGTTGTTGCCTCTGTACAGAATGCCTAATCCCAGATTCTTCTTCTGTGCTGGTGGCTGCTTCATTTGGAGGAACTTCAAAAACCATTAGGTGTATGTGTTTGACTAGAATTCTATGCACATACTTATTTAGTTCCCTTGTTGTACTTATCTGTAACATACACACTTGCAGGAAGCACTTTGAAAACATGATGCACTTTCATATTTGTGGATAATTTGCCATCATTTCCTCCTGGGATATGAAAAATATTAAAGAAATTATATTTAAAAGAAGAGAGCAAATTAAGATGTACTAGGAATAATGTAGTTTCTCATTTTAAATGTGGATGATTTCTTGACTTTTTTGTTTTATTATTCATAAAACTGGTGTTATGTTTGCTCTCACTGCTGCTTTTATATCTCCAATTGTTGCAGGGTTCAGCCTGTTATAAAGCTGTAGCACTAAATCATGATTTTATTTTCCTTTTTGAGCACGTTAACTAAGCTTTATAATGGGGTGATATAATAATGCAGAATGTTTGTGTTGTAGATACACATTGAAAGCTGTGTCCTATAAGTGTAAAGATTGATCATATATTGTAAATAATTAAACTACCACAGAAAAAAGCAGAACAATTTGCTTTATAAAAATATCCTTCAGGATGGAGCTCACTTTGTGCTTAGAATATGTTGAGCTATTTTGCAATATACTATTTAAAATCTAAATTTTGTTGCTTTGCTGCCTTTTTTTTTTTTAAAAGTAGGGTATATCAAATGTTGCCAGAGATATTTTCCTGAAATGCATTTGCAAGATAAGGTTGCTTTATTATCAAGGAATATTTTTATTGATTGAAGAAAATGACTGTACTGCCATCCCAAAGTAAACTTATTTTATTATACAGCTTGTTTCTTAACAACTCTATTTATACTTTAATATGAAATCCACAACTACTTTGAACTGGGTTGTCCATATGCCTTTCTGTAAAATATAAAACAGTAATGCCAGTGCTGACTTTTGAGATCAAAGAGTCAAAGCTTCTCACATTGCATTAGGAGTGTTAAATCCTAAATGTGTAATGTTTACATACACATACACAGTGGGTGTTTTCATTGGTCCTTTGTTTAAGTGTCATTCACATTCATTCACCCCTTGAGCATTAATAAAGCAGAAAGCTGGTTTGGATTTGCAGTGGTATCTGGCCATTCGTCCTCTCTGCCACCCCAGATTCTCAGCATATCCGAGCACATGTGCTTTGTACTTCTTTTGTTTTTTCTAGTGATGACTTGCATTTGTCCTGTTCCGGTAGTGTCTTAGAGTATCATGCTTTCCACTCAACAAGTAAATTCATGTTTTCAGCCACGCTCCTATTTTGTCTTGATGGACAGAGCTCTTTGAGGAAAGACGTCTTCCTACAGTTTTTTAAAATTGCTTAACTTTTTTTATACAGCAGGGACTTCATTTCTTTAGTTAGGGTAGGTTCTAGAACACTTTGATTTTAGGTTTAAAAATATGAGTATCTATATTCTACAAAAAGCTTTGGTTTGTCTTTGAGTGATTTAGGGGAATATTATAAGTGTGGAGATCCAGATTTTTGCTGAATCTAACCTGAGACATTGTAATCTTTGCTCTGAGTATCCTGTGGCCTCCTCTCAGGACTCATCCCTACTCTGTTATTTTTCTCCCTAGCATGTACTTTGGTGGTGCTAATTCTGTCTTTTCCCTCACTAGATTGAGGGATAGATTTTTGATAACTTGGCCTATTGTCTTATCCCAACATCTGGAATAATACTTGGCACCTCAAGATGCTCAGTAAACATTTGCTGAATGAACAGAGGCAGTAAAGCCATCAATTGTTAAATACAGAAATATTATCTAGCTAGCTTTGGAAACTCGGCCACAGAACAGGTACGTTTCGGTAGTTAAGGTTGGAAAGAGAACAAGAAAGATTTGGATTCTGTTCCAAAACAGAGACGTGGGAGAGAGAAAGATATCATGTGTCAGGGGTACGAAAAGGATGGGGAAAGAAAACACACAACAGGGTTACATAAGGCAACTGCATATTTTCCCTGGCCGGCCATGGATTTCTATTTTGATGAGTTGCTACTTTAGAGAACACAGTTTAATTATGCGTGACCTAATACTCAGCATGAAGTAGATTTTACTCGGGTGTGCATGATCTGAACTAGATCTTGCTCAGGTGTGTACAATATGATCGTTAGAACCAAGCACTTTTTGTTCAGTGTTTTGCACCTACCTCTTTAGGTGATATTTCAAGTCATGTTGACCAAGTTGCTGGAGACCTGACCTGTTAAGAAACAGGTATTATATATATATATATATATATGTAAAGAAAAAACAACACAAACACAAAAAAGAAATATAAACATCTGATTTTTAGTAGTGATTTTAACCACTCATTGGACATTTGTTACCTACATGATTCACTCAGAGACACTGCAAGCCAGTAGGAATTTATTTTTTATTTTTCTTCATGCCCTTTGCTTCACTACACTTAATTATAATACAAATACAGAAGTTAATACAAAACTCACATTATCACATATATTTTTAGTAATTGCTTAATAATATCCTTGGTACATAGGCCCTTATTTACAAACAATGTCACCCCAGCTAATGAAGCTTGATGTAGGCTGAACAAGTGGGACACCTTGATGTTTTATCACAAGCTGAGTATGATACCTTTGTGTAGGCATTTTTTCCCTACCAAAACTTTTGCTAGTGCTCCATTTTACAGAAGGAAAGAAGTCTATGTGGAGGAATTATAATAGATGGGCATGTATTACTGATAATAATGTTTATTTTCATTACATTTGGTAGAAATGAAAGTTTTTCTGCTTACAGCCTTGTCCTTAAAGGCAAAGGTACCAAGTAATTGGGGATGATCTCTTCATGAACTCACTGACCTCTACATGACCCCAAGTAATTAAGTTTGACCTCTTTGTGACCTCACTGACCTCTTCATGACCCCATGTACTAGGAAAATCCAGCTTTGAAGTCACTTGGTTCTACATTGAACCAACTGACCTCTGTGATCTCACTGATCTCTTTGTGACCCCAAGTAATTAGGTTTGACCTCTCCGTGAACTCACTGACCCCTTTTTGAACAGATCTACAATTAACAGGAAGTGTAGATCTCCATCAGTGGAGATCTACTCCATCAAGTTGTAGATGTGGTAAAAGACAACCTTCAAAACATAGCTTTTATAATTCTGCTTTGCCAGTAAGACTACAATTGTAGCAAATGGTATAAAAGTTGTTAGATGTTGAAGGTGAAGGTTATTAAGTAGACATAATCTCAATCCTGTCAGCTTCACTTCTTTTAGGAAACCATCTCTGCTTAATATCAGTTTTGCTGCATTAATGACTTTATGACTTGATAACTAGCTTTGGATGAAAAGAATGGAGAACTGATACCAAACTTCCTTCTGTGCTACTTCTTTATAAAGATTTAAACATAATTGGATTTGTTACAGGGCACCCATTGTGAACTGGGCCGCCTGTTGGTGGGGCCTCACCCATGCGCCTAAAATTCAGTTGTACTGCAGGCACACACAAAAGGGTCAAAATGGGTTTATTTACAAAAGGGGAAAAGAAAAGGAAACAACAACTGGAGTATCTTACCGGCTGGGCTGACTTGGAGCTCTGGTAACAAACTAACTGAAAGCCCGAGTAACACCTTCCGGAGAGCTGCTTCCTGAGTGAGAAAGTAAGGGATGCAGTGGTGCCCTATTTATCTCCCAATGTCCCAGAATGCCTGCTTAGCTCCGCCCTTGGGTCCTAGAAGTTCTCTCCCTGGTACTGCTGGGAGTTGTAGTTTCCAATCACTGGAGTAGGGGGTGGAGTTCTCAAGACTCTGCAGAGTTCCTTTAGGACATCCTTCCCCTTAACAGACTTACTGGAATCGTGGCAATGAATTGATTGGTTTTGTCTTTAAATTATTTGGAGTCCAAGTTGAAGAAAGAAACACTTGCGCATGCGCACACCCCACCCTGCTGAATGTGGGCCAGGTGTTTGAGTTTTCCCTATACACAGGTGAATTCTGTGTAGTCAGACTTTGGAGTTGGAAGGGAGCTTTGAGACCAAACTGCTCATGATTTAAAATGAGAAAGTGGGATTTAAGTCACATGGGCAGATAACTGCAATCTATTACTAGGTTTCTTAACTACAACCAAGTCTACTTGTTTCTTAAGTGACTGATGAGATCTAGACCACCCAGCATGGAATCATTGAAAGTCTTGTCACTCTGCTAATCACCTCTAGTGGCAAATAACCTCTCCTAAAATGTAAACATTCTAGGGAGTATCACAATACCAGCTGCTAAGGCTTAGTGAGTATTCATTTAACATATAGCCTTTCAACAAGTAACAGCTGAAACTCGCCTACCAATCAGTGTTCAGCATGGTGGGATAAATAATGGTGAGTCATTGATTTCAAGGAGGCAGTACATCTTAGTAAGGTTGATGGAGTGGGGAGTTAGCAAGATGAGCAGAGGGACCTAAGAAATGGACTGAGATGGCACTGCAAACAGAATTTGGCTCTTGTAGTTTTTTCAGGATTAACTTGAGTGACATCCTTACGTCTTTTACCTTTACCAGTACGGAGGAGAGAAAGGTCATTCCTTTAATTCAGTGGTTATGAAAGTTCATGTACTTATCCCCACCTCCCAACACAAACACTAATTATGTAGTAGTCTGTTCTTATAGTGAGCTTTTCAAATGTTAAATGCTTGTAAAGCAGAGCTAAAAATAGCTTTGTACTTGAGTGTATTAAAAATTAAATGCACCTACTCAGGATACCAAATAAAAATAGAATCTTAACAGAAGTCTCACAATTTGTTCTGAGTGATTAGTTTTTATTTTAGCCATTATGTGAAGGATTATGGGAATGCCAGTTCTTGTTTTATATGTTCACACACCCAACACAGAGAACCATCTCCAGTGGTGAAATTAGCAAAGTCAAACTGAATATTCTTTAGGGAGACTCTTAGAAAGTCACTAGCTAGAGATAGATTGACAATAAATTGTTTTATAGAATTTTGTGAATCTTGAGAAGTCTGTTATTTAGAGTGATCTGATTTCATGTTTTAGATATGCAAAGCTTACGTGAGTAATTTTAATTTTGCTACTACTGAAGAAATAGCTCGATAACTTGGACTTTTCTTAGAGATGTGCCCTGTAAATATGGATGTAAATCTCATATTTTATGGACTGACATTGCATATTTTATAATAACAGCATTTACCCAATAAGGCATGGACATGTCCAACATCAAAAACTGATTATCTTCTTCCTTTTTGTAATGCTTATCTTTAGCACTTAGTTCTCAGTATAGTAGAATCTCTACATTCTTCTTTTGATCTGAAAAGGACTTGGGCTGGCAGGCCCTGACATGGGCCACATGAAGTCAAACAGCACAGAGGGGATAGCCACCAGGCCAGGCAGGTGTAGACAAACTCCAACTTTTAAAATCCTCCCCACACCCAACCCCAAATCACTTGTGAATTTAAGAGGTCTAAGAGAGTCTAAATGAGAGGTCTAATTGTGATTCCACACAATTTATAATTGCAGGGCATTAAGAGAAGAATGTTGTTGTCCTCACTTTGTATGTAGAAACCTTATGATAGGTCACATAACCCAATAAAAGCCCCTACCCAGGGGAGAGGCCCTAACTTGACACTACTCAGCACATCATATTATTTTTGAGTTTACTTCTACTATTTCAGTTTGCTGTAAATTTAAGGTGCTGCCTATCAATCGGCGATTCCTCACAAACTGCCAGGGTCCCAGTGGAATGGCTGTGAACTTTCTTTACAGACATGGAATATAAATAATCATACCAGCTTAAGGGTTCACTACATAGCTTCAGCAAAGATTAATTGTGCTTGTTCATATACTCGGTAGAACTTCCTATCATAGCTAAAACTAGAATCCATGGCTTCTGGGTGAATTGCTATAGTCCCGTAGCTGGAGCAGTATTGAGTGGACATAGTCCAGATCAATATCGCGGGCTTCCAGGGAGTTAAACGAAACATCTTGAGGTCATCATATCTCAGGATGGAGTTGTTTATTTACTTATCCATATATACAGGCTTTTAAGACTTGACTATCATTTACACGGAAATGGATACCAATAAAGACGCTTGGAGAGAATCAACAAATCAATCTCAGTAAGGCACCACCTGAAAATGTAATGAGTTTGTAGTTTCTAAGCTGAGAAAGCAATAAGAGTTTTCCGCATTAATAATAAAGACTTGGCTATCTAGCCATGTAGCATGCTCCCTGTCAAACTGGGTACTAGTGTTACAAATATAAAATGAAATTATCCTTAGTTGCTGACAGCTCCTCCTCAACCTTTAGCAGAGTGTTTTTCAGAGGGTGGTTTTCGGGCCCTTTCAGGTGGATGGGAATTAATGTTTATGTGATCAGGCTATTTGCTTTTGGGTCTGGCATGCACCAAAACTTTATGGGTACAGTGGCTTAGAGGTGAGTTCATTGCTATTTCATCTTCATGTGTGAGTGATGAAAGTATTTTTGGCAGTTAAGATACGGAAAAGTGGTGTCTGGAGTGTATTAGTGCATCAACAGATGTGCAAACTGCCAATTGGGGCAAGCTGAGGCAAGGCCTCTGCCATAGGACAAACTCTTGTGGTAGGTAAAACTGAGAAGGTAAGGGGAGAGTTTGTGTGTGTATGTGTGTGTGTCCCTTTGCTTGGGAATGCTTAGAGCCTAGTAAGTACTAAAAAGTGCTTTCCTCCCAAGGCAATGCTTTGGCACAACTGGCACCAGGAACAAAGCTGGAGAAGCGGGAAGAATGAAATGAAAACACTGATAAAGCATCATTGCATAATACGTGCCTAAATTTCAACAATTTGTTTTCAAGGAACTAAGTTTTATCTGTGAAAACCCAGTTCAGAGACTTCCCTTCCCCACCATAACACATGTCACCCTCAGCATGACAAGTGTTTTTGAATCCTTTACTCACGGTCACTCAAGGACAAATTCATGTTAATCCACATTTGACAGTTATACAAGTATGTGTCAGGCTCACATGGCTTAAGGAGAGAAATGCAGATGGACACTGGAATTGGCATTGCCTCCTAGGACCACTGGAGGACCTGATCACCACAAAACTGACATTTGGTGGTTTTCTTGATCAAAATAATTAGAAGGTTTTGGTCTAAGATGGATTAACACTTATGCCCAGGAATGGATATGTTTCTATGCTTCAGATGTATCACTGCTGCTTAAAATTTCAGTTTTTCAATGATCTGAGCTTATTTTAATTAGTGGAAAGTTGTTTAAGTAATAATTTAAATCTTGAGTTTTCAACCCAGAAGGAAACCCACTCCTGTTCACTTCTTTTAGTGGGTGGATTTTCTTTAAGGCATGAGGTATATCAACAGGATGTTTGAATCTCTGCATCTGTTTGTGGTGTTTTATCCTACTGAAAGCACTCTGAATATCTGCATCTCATTTGGATGAGTATATACACATTTTCTCTACACTACCATAACTAGTCACATTTTTATAATCACTGATGAATCAGCGCAATGGAAAGTGTCTCAACGTCATCCAATGTGACATTTCAGTTAGTTGTTTATGCTGTTTCTGTCCCAAGTAAACACAGTCTTGCCTCATGGTGACTCATTACAAATTACTCTGTTAAGTCAAGTCCCTCTTCCCTCAAGTGATCCAGGGCCACGTCAAAGGGTAAGGGGACGTCTAGGGCTCCAACTATGAAACACATAAGCAGCTAGTTCTGACTGCAGTGAGGCCGAGCACGCACAACGTGAAGAAGCATGAGGAAGTGTACATCAACCATGCACAAAAGCCTAAGCCACCGACTCTGGGCCTGGTATTTATCGGGCGTCCGCGTGATACTTTCTTCTATCGTAAGAACAGATGAACCCATGCTCAAAACCTTTCTAAAGCATTTCGAAAAGTCAGCTTTTTGATGTGGCACTTCAAAACAAGTTGGCACAAAATGAAAAGTGACATCTGGTCTCTGGTTTGTTGAGGAGCTGTTACCTGTCGCTCCTCGGTGGGCTCTGGGCTCCCAAGGAAGAGAAAAGCCTGCCGACGGGCTCAGGGCCCGGGCTGGTTCTTCAGAGCCGCGTCCTCATAATGACTAGTCCCAGGAGGGGCAGCAGCCTCCAGAGGCAGGCCCTGTTGCTGGTAGCCATAGTTGACGTTGCCGCACGGGAAGTGACGCAGCCGGAAGAGAGGCACTTCCTTCATGTTGGCCGTCAACGAGGACGGCTCTAGGAGCAGGGAGGCACCCGGAAGTCTGCCGCTGGCAACGCTGGGTGGAACAGTACAGCTCCCCTCACGCCCCGGGTTTCCCTTCTCATGTGGCTCCTTCTTCTCGGGAGGATTGTTCTTTTTGACGGGCTTCTCCGTAAACCAGGAGCCATACGTGGGGTTCCATAGGCTGGTGGGTTTGTTTCTGGATCCCTGGACTTTGTGCAACTCTGATGGGGGGTTGGACTGAGAGAAAGCCATATTCACGTGCCCGCCTTCCATGGCCGGCACCGGGGTGATGCGGGCCGACACCTCCCCCGCCGATGGTTTCTTCACGGCTTTGCCAGAGGAAGAGGCGGGCACAGGGGCCAGGGCAGCAGGTGCGTGCCCTTCCTCCCGCTTGGCCTGCGGAGGAGAGACAAGGAGAGGAGGGACCCCCTCGGGATCTTTGGGCCTCATGGGCACCTTCTCTTCCTCTTCCACGAGCGGGCCGTACTCTATGGGCAAAGCTGTGTTGATCACGTCCGGATCCTACAGGTGGGAGAAATGATCTGATTAAAACTTTGAAGCACAGACCAAACGTGTTGGCTCTGGAAGATTTCTTCGTGATGATCCGCTCTGGACTTATTTTACAAATGAGGAAACCAGTGTCTACCAGGAAGGCATTAATTTATAGGCACTGGAAAATAAATGAACCGGAAACCACACTTATCCTTGGACTACTTAGAGGATAAGCACTGTCCATGGAGGTGTACAGGGTTGTCATAGAGGTGTGTACAGGGTCCTGGGAAACACCCAAGTGTCTGGGGCAGGAGAGACTTTGGAGGGACAACCTTTGGGCAAATCTTAGAAATAATGGATTTTTAAACATCGTAAGTATGTTTAAAAATTATTCTGGAAGATTCCTAGTATTTGCAAATATAAAGTCGCTTAATTTGGAGTGTGGATGTATAAAGGGAGCACTGGGAGGGAAAGGAGGAGAGGAGAGGGCACACGGCCTCACTTGCTAGGTTTATTTTTCTTCCCTAGCTTCCTTCCATATTTAAAATCACATTCAGGTGGTTATACTTCATAATATTTTTTCTGGGTTACAGCGTTGTACCATTAGGCCTGCAGATAGCACAATGTGGTATTCTTTTAGGCACCCTGGATATGATGAGACTTTTTGTGAAACCCAGAAAATACTGATGTGCTATGAAAAAACCCTTCATAATCCATCTTTGAGCTAGGTTAACTTATTTTTTATTAAAAAAATTATTTATTTATGCATACAGAACTGGGGTGCAGAGCAGAGGTGCAGGTGCTGAGAGGATTCACCAGAGACAGAGTGGGGAGCAGAACAGGCAGACTGATGAAGTACACTGCTGAAGGAAGCAGCGGGCTGGTCAGGAGAGGTCTGCCGTGTGCCATGTGGGTCACCTCTGGGGCGGGAATGGAACTCATGCGGAAGTGGCTTTAGCTTCTTAGTGCTGTGCTTTAACCTGCTGTACCACCAGGGAGGGCCCCTAGGTTAACTTCTTACAGCAATAGTTTATAGTACAGAATGGTAGAAGCAGTTGCCAGATGTTTGAAGAAACTTTGTGGACAAAAACTTAAATTTGGGGAGAAGTAATTCATAATATTTAATGCAAATAAGGAAAACCATTTATGTTGAATTTAACAGAAAAAATGCTATATGGCAACCTATGGCTGCCTTCTTAGTCTCTCTGTTTTATTCAGCTCCTTCCCTGTTTACTATAAATTTCTATGGCCAATCATTTAAAATATGCTTGCATAGAACTACCTGCCTTTAAGGGGGATATATATTTGGAGAAGATTATTTTAAAGTCTATACACTTTAGGTGGGTGCATTTCATTCAGACCACCACATAGTAACTTAGTTGACACTGAACACCGAGTTCTCTAGAAGAATTCCAACACTTGAAGTCCATCCAAGATAAATGCCACTTCACCTGCTTCTGGGCCAGAATGACCTGGGCGGATGGAACGGGAACTGTTCTTTCAAGATGCATAAGTCTATCTGTTGCCACAACTAAGACAAGGGAATTTAGAGAGCTGGTGGGTTATTGTCTGACTTTTAAAAATGTTCTCTAGAATTAAGACATCCTGACACGATGGATGCAGAAACAGTGGAGAGGAGATAACAGACGGAACCAAAGTCCTGCGGGGCAGCAGCTGGTGACTAGGGGCTTGGCCTGGAAGTGGGGATGGGGGTGCGCATGGGCACAGATGCAGTTGGAAGCAAACGGAGGAATCTCACTCATCCACTCCCCAGGAAGTGGGAGGCTTAGTCATCTGCTGAAAATGGGGGACAAGAAGGCAAATCTAGAGACATGGCTGAAGGAAGTGGGGAAGGGGCCTTTCTCGGACCAGTGGGGCCATTGGGAAACTGATTTGGGTGAAGCTCCAAGCCTCAACTCCTCATCTGGAAAATGGGGATATTTTAGAGACGTATCTCTACGAGAAGAGAATGATATACAGCGGCTATACCAAAGCTATTGATGATGTTAACATTTCTCCTGAATTCTTTGACTTTTTCCTTCCCTTATTCCTTCTAACCTACGTCCTCGGACAGATAATTTAACAGTTACATACTGTTAATCACTTCACATTATTTACTGTTTGATTTCTCTGGCCAGGCTACAAACTATGAGAGAAGGCATTTTCCATATTTTTCTAAAGTTCCAATTTTGTGTAATAAAACACTAGGTATTCGGTAGGGATTTAGTTAACACTTGAGAATTGAATTGATTCCCTCGCATTATCGAGTGTTTGGCACTGTGTCATGTGCTGGTGAAGAGAGTGGCAGTTACTAGTGTTTACTTACAAAATGTCCAAAGTCAGATACAACTTTACAGATAATTAGCTTTTATATTCATGAGCATATCTTTTATGTTCTGGTTGGTTTAACTTTCATTTCATATATTGGTATTTTCCATTTTAAAGACTTTTCTATATAAATTCTGGTCAAGGAACACAAACATTTTTACCTGTGTGCAGTATTCAATCCTCTCCAAAATGATGGCAAAGTTGGGTCTGTCTTCAGGCTGATGTTGCCAGCACTGGGTCATTATCCGGTAGCTGAAAGAATAAGCACAGTCATTAAAATCAGGAGATGCAGAATGAAAAATACAATTTCCCGAGTTTTTCCAAATGAGACGGGGGCAACACTATCTTCCAGGGTGGCAACGCCTCAGGTCCCATGTGGTTGGCCTGTGCTGCCCTCTGCTGATGGGCCAAGGGATCGTCCCAGGTGGAAAGATGGCGAAGCTCATGCACCCTGGCCGCCAGGTGTTTACATTAAATAAGGCTCCTCTTACTCTATTCTGAATGAAAAGTCACCTTCGAGGCAGAATATTCTAATTATATTTCCCATCTGCCTTCCTTGTGGGAAGGAGGTGAGGGATGCCAGAGAGCATTGCAGAAAAGTCAGGGAATGGCCGCATTTAAAGGAGACTCAAGACATACGGCATACGGAGGGGGAGCCTGGGACAAAAATTCTCGGGCTCTCGAAGTTGCTGCCTGGTGAGTTCGCAGCCTCCAGCCAAACAGCAGATACCACTTTTGGCATGACACTGCTACTCTGGCGAGGCTGGACACTACCCCGTGTCATTGACATCAAAGACACATTCCTGTCTGGAGGCTCAGTGAGTGAGGCCGGCCACTTGTCTCTACATCTTCAAGTGAGAAAGCATATGTGGCTGCAGTGATGTCCTGGCAAGGAAGACGGTGTGCAGTAACTGGCGCAAACGCTGAAAGACTCGTACACAGGCCCGGGGCAGTTCTTGGGTGGGTCCATGCGGCCTCCGCTGGTGACGAACTCCAAGACCTCCTGGTTGCTCTTGCTCGGGTATGGCATGTATCCAAGTGAGAAGATTTCCCAGAGCAGCACTCCGAAAGACCTGCGCACAGGGCGGAAGGTGTCGGCATGGACAGACGGACTCCATACAGGCAGATGCACAGACCACACACACACAAACACAGACTCACACACACAGGTATGCAAACACAGACACACGAGATACACAAACATGTATAGACAGATGTTGCAAAACTAAGTTTTTAAAATTGCACATTTTCACAGTAGAGAATTCTCATTATGGAGAATAAAAGAAAGCAATCAAATGTAGTGCTCCATAAAAGATAACCATTGTTGCTAGTTTTTTTTTTTTTTTGGTTCAGTTAAGTTTCTATGTTTGGTTTTTTTTTTTTTACAAAATAAAATTGCAATTATATTTAATATGCAATTTTGAGCCTTCATTTTTTTCATATTCCATTATGGCATAAACGGGTTTAATACTAAGAAATGCATTTTATAAATGTAATTTAAAATGTCTCTAAAATGCTGTCTTACTGTAATACACAACACTATTTTATCATTTCTGTATTGAGCAGTTGCACTATACTTTATCATTTCTATATTGCTTTCTATTTTTAAAATGTTGTGATGAACATCACTGTGTATTTTTTCTTCCATTCATTAGTACCCACTATGCTTATTAAAGAAAGGAGGAAAAAGAAGCAAAACACCTGCATAGACACAGGTAGGCAGTTTTGGAAGACAAGACCTGCCTTTGTGTAGTTTTTGAAATCTGGACAATTTCCTTTTGATAAATTCTTTAAATTTGGGCTGAAGCAAAACTAGTAAAACCTGGGAAAAATCTGGAAGATTAGAAAAAGACAAAGTGAACATTGAAACTTCCGCCCCTGTCACTGGGCATCAGTCAGCATCGTGCAAAGTTAGCAGACCTCTCCAACTTCAAGTGTTCGCGTTAACAGTGGGAACCTGGGTTGATTTTAAGGTAAAAGAAGGCAGAATATTTTAAGTTATCTTTAGTGGTTTGGTCATTAACATGACCAATACTTCACATTTTTCTCCTGTTCATATTTTTGTCCACTTTTATCCACACTTGATTTTGGTATCTGCCTTTTTTTAATCCATAAGCATATTTTTGTGAACCAGAGACATTCATTAGCCTTTTATCAAAATCTAAATATTTCTATTAGTTGCTTTCAAATTCTACTTTTTAGCATGCCAAAGACTTTGGTAGTCACGTTTATTAAAAGATTTTGTTTGTGATTTACTCCATCTGTTTTATAAATTCCACAATCCTCCCTTCAACAAAGATTAAACAAATATCTGTGTTTGTTTTTTCCTTTCTTCTCTCATATTCAGTTGGGATTTAGTTTGGTATAGTGTGAGGTAAGTATCTCAATTGATTTATATTTTGAAACAGTCAAAATAACTTCCCCTTAACTGACTTGTGAATAAAAATTGGGTCCGTTCCTGGGTTCCTTAATTGGACTATAACCTGTTCTAAAAAGAAACAACAAAGTACAAGCTTTGCATCAAAGCATCCAAAATATGTAAGAATATTAAAAAAAAAATCCTGAAATTATAGAAACAGTTAAGTGACTGCTGGTTAAATTTTTACTTAAAAAATTTGAGATAATGCAGATAATATCATCTGATTAAAAGGCTTTAAAACATGAGATGTGCCTTTTAAAACTAAATTATATTTTTCTTTTTTCATAACCCAAAGGTGGAAGATCATCTCCAGGTGTGGGTCTTCCCTTCATGCGCCTTTCTCATTCAGGGCTCAATGTCCCTGCTGCCATTTACAAATTAGCTTTCCTCCTGGACCCTGCTCCCACCACCCCTTCATTCTGTGCTTTCCTGCCTCCATAACCCTGACCAGTGTCTGAAGTTATGTGACTTCTTTGTGCTTTTAAATAACAAAACAATCCAAACTTTAAAGAAGAAAGATAATAGGATAGATACTAAGAATAGATGTTAATACAGATAAGAAATGAGACACAGGTAAGCTCCTCCCTCCTCTTTCCCTCCTTCCCCTTAGACAAAGGAAGCTTTCCTTCCATTTCCCATCATCTGACAATATAGAGACCATATTACAAACTTAATTGTGTACAGTAAAATGATACATGAGTGGCAGCCAACACCTTTTGTAGTTTGATTTTTCCCCCCATGAAGTGTTTTGACATGACTCTACGTTGATAAATATAGGTTTAGTGTGTTCTTTGATGGTGCTGAAGGATTTCCCATGAGAGAAGAAAACAGAAATTTGCTTTTCATCTTTCCCTAGAGAATAGTTGGATTGGTTTTGCTTTTTCCTCCATGTAAACAATGCCACCAATGAACATCCTCATCTGAATTCCTTTGTGTCAGGAGTACACTCACAGGAAGACAGCTGATGAACCCCAGACAATCCATGTGTTCAGCACAACTACCTGATTAATGAACTGGCCCCCAGCCTGGACAGGGCGGGATGAAGGTGCTCTAACTTGGGAAATCCCAAGAGGGCCCCTGCATTTCTACTTCATTAGGCCTGAGGATCTGCATAAGTTTCCTGGTGTTGCTGATGCCTTGGGTACCAGGACCACACCCTGAGATCCCCTGGGTTAGGGGATATGAGCTCAGTACTTAGACAGTGACAGCCTTTGCCTCAGTAAGGGCACGAAGCGGGTACTGTGTCATGCAGACCACCGTCGAGGACTTCTCAAACCAGGAGTTCCCAAACTAGAGGCCTTTTGTCTTTTTGGTTTTCTGTACTGTTAAGAAATCGATGCCTCTGGATTCCCTATTTTTTAATCTGACCATTTTTTATTACCAGTGTTCTCAGAATGGTTCAAACTGGTTGTGACCAGTTGACATGGGTTCAGGCTGATTGAAACCAGCTCAAACCAGTTGACAAACCGAAACCAGTCTGAACAGTACTAATTCTCAGAAGTAAAACAAAGCAACTGAAATTGAAAGGGAAACCAACTGACACCAAAAGTGAAATCATCTGAACCTGAGCTCAGCTGAAAGTGAAACCAAAAGGCAAGAACCTCCTGCCAGCTCAAAAAAAGATGGAACGATTTCTCAACAGTGCTGGCGAGTTCATTGAGAAACACATGGAATCCAGTTCTGAATTCTTCAAAGAACTGAAAACAAAACGAAATGAAATTGCATCCTAATTTCCTTTACTATAAATCCCATCTGTTGAGAGTTATTTTTTTAACAGATTTATTCAACACTGTCTTCCTATCTATTACTTATTATTATTACTTATTACCATATTTTAGGACAGTTTTAGATAGACTGTTAAGCGATTATGAAGATGGTAGAGTTCTCATATCCCCTTACTTAGTTCCTCTATTTTTAGCATCTGATGTTATTATGCTAAATTTCTACAATTAATGAGCAAATATAAAGACATCATTACTAACTCAAAGCCATGGGTTAGTCCTATTTCCTTCCTGTTGCAGGTCCCATTCTCCTGTCACGTTTTCTTAGGCTACTCCTCACTTTGGCAACTTCTCTCAAACTTTTCTGATTTTGTGACCTTTCTGGTTTTGAGGAGTATTTTGTAGGATGTCCAGCTGGGGTTTGTCTGTTTTTCTGATGACTAGGTCGGAGTCCCTGGTGTGGGGAGAAAGACCTCAGAGGTAAAGCCCATTTCATTCAGACAAAGGCAGGTGCAGATGGCACCTTGCTAACCTGGGGCTGGAGCCCCCAGGGTTTTCTCCCCCTGGTTTTCCTTCCTGTGCTTTTTGAAAGGACATTCCTGTATGGAGCCAGAGGAATGCTGGGCACTAATGCTCCGCTTCCTGGAAGACTATCACCCCAGTTTTATTTCCAAGAACTTCACCCTCCTCCCCCAAAACCATTGTTTTAAATCATCTTTTGTCCCTTGGCTGTGGTTGCGAGAACATCTTTCTGAGGACACGACTGTTGTAAAAAGTTTCCCTCTACACTCTGCATGTTTCTTCCTCTGAATTCCTTTCCCTATATTTGCTTCCTTCAGAGTAGAGTCTTCTCTCAACCCTGGTGATCTGCGATGGCTGCTGTTTTGAAACTGGGGAGAGAAGCCTGTGTAGACGAGGCTTGTGAGCTCTTGCAGGGTGGTTAGTTTCCTGTTCTGCTGTAATGAATGACACTAACTTGCCGGCTTAAAGCAACAGAAATTTATTTGCTCAAAGATCTGAAATCAGTACTCTGGGTCAAGGTCAAGGTGTCTGGAGGGAGGGGGGATACTGCCCCTCCAGAGGCTCAAGGGGATCTGTTCTCCCCTCTTGTACAGCTTTTGGTGCCTGCAGGACCTCCTGGTCTGTGGCCATGTCTCTCAGTTGCTCCCTCCTCTCCTCCCTCAGGTGTCTAATCTCCCTTTGCCTCTCTCTATGGCGCCACAGGTTGATGGCAGGGTGGCCTCATCCAGATACTGTAGGATAAGGGTGTCCTTCACTTAATTACATCACACCTGCAAAGGCTCCTTTTTTCTTATCAGGTAACAATTACTGGTCTCTGGAATCAGGACCCAACACTTCTGCACGAGCACTACTCAGCCCACCTGTCAGCATCTGGAGACTTTCTCCTCATTGGTTGGTTCCTCCAGAGAAGAATTCTAACATCTTCTCCTTCCTGACTGTCCATGTTGCGGGCACTGAGGGGAGGGAAGGGGATCTGCACCCTTAAGTAAATGTCGAATGTAAAGATAAATGTAAACGAGGGGCTCTCCCTGGTGGCACAACGGGTTAAAGCACTGCATTGTGAAGCTCTTCAAAGGCACTGCAGCATGAGTTCGATCCCTGGCCAGGGAGGTGACCCACATGGTACTGCAGACCTCCCTAACTTACTCGCTGCTCCCCTCAGCAGTGTACTTCGTTGATCTGCCTGTTCTGCTCCCCACTCTGTCTCTGGTGAATGCTCTCACCGCCCCATCCCCACACCTCTGACCTGAGCCCCAGTCTGTGGGCATAGATAAATAAACCTTTAAAATAAATAAATAAATAAATGTAAATGTAAAAAAAATAATAAAATCCCCACTGACAACAGAGAATTCATGCTCAGGGATGCTAAGATCCCAACTACAAAGGGTTTAGTTCAGTCTCTTCAGAGCGGGAAACCCTAGTCTTGAGTGAGAGGAGAAGGAGAAGCCATCTTGCCTGGTACCTCCCATTCTGGGACTCTTGGGTGCAGTGAATCACCTGTGAACCACTGTTTCTGGAACTGGATTCGACTTTCTAAGTCTCCTAAGTTAGGATACCACTTGTCCATGAATTTTCTATTTTCCAAAATTTTGTCCTTATTGTCTTCTTTGTCCTTTGGCTTTTTATGCACCTTAAAAGACTTCCTTCAGGGTTGTTTGTGTATATTTTGGGATGGGTGGAGTGATGGAGTTAATCTGCCCTTTCAAATAATGGGCTGCTCTTATAGTCAATAAGAAAAACAGTTGGACCTTCCTCGACAAGTTGAAAATAGAACTACCTTTGATGCAGCAATTTCACTTCTGGATATTTAGCCAAAGGGAATAAAATCAGTGTCTTAAAGTGCCATCTGCCCCTCCCCATGTCCACGGTGGCATTATTCACACTAGCTAACCCAGAGTCCACTTACAGATGGATGGATAAAGAAAATGATATACATGCCATGAAATATTATTCCAGCATAAAAGCAGGAACTCCTTCCGCTTTTGACCACATAGATGAATCTGGAGGACATTAAACTAAGTAAAATAGCCCAGAGAGAAGGGTGAAGCTTTATAGGGGATCACAGCTGCAGAGTAGAATGGGAGTTGTAGGAGCTGGGGAGGCCTGGAGGGAAGGGAGGATGTTGGCCAAGGGGTACCAAGCTCCAGTTACCCAGGACAAATAAGTGCTGGAATTCGAACTTAGTGTTAGCTGGAGAGTAGCTCTCCCCATCACTATCACCGGAAGCACTTTTGTGTTGAGGATTATTGCCTTTTTTTCTGTTAAGGTAGAGAATTTTATTGACTGATTCTCTAATCTTAAGTCACTGCTGCATTCCTGGAATAGACCCAACTTCATTGTTATCTAAGAGAAACCGTGGCTCTCACTGCAAGCTCCCTGCCAGAGGCAACAGCCTCCCCTGGTGGCTTGTCAGAGATGCAGCTTCTCAGCAAGACCTAGATCTGCTGAACCATCAGAGCGCAGGGTGTGCCCAGCGATCAGTTACCAAGCCTTTCTGATGATTCTGAAGAATGCCAAAGTTACAGAGGAGTATTGATCCTTTCCTTATCTATCCTGGACACAGATACCTTGATACGAGTATGGATCCATCTGGCTCACGAGTGTCACCTAACGACCACAGAGAGACCAGGAGGGGGGCAGAAGAGACTCACCACGTGTCTGTCTTGGAAGTGAAGATCCCTTCCATGAAGGCCTCCGGGGGCATCCATTTAACTGGCAGCATCGCACAGCCTCCCTTTCGGTAGTAGCTTGCTCTGTGGGGGTAGAAGAGGAAAATCAAACTTGGTTTTAGGTGGGTGTGGCCAGAGAGCTGTCCTGGCAACTTGAGAAAGTGCCCACCACTAGGTCTACGACTGGAGGGCAGAAATGCACCAGGGGTTCTTGTGGCTCAGGGGGGCGGGGCTCACAGGTCCTGCAGTCAAAGGCTTTGGAGTGTGTGGGCAACAAAAGCTTTTGTGTCATTCAACAGGAGATGAAACTGCTCTCTGGAGGCATGAGAACAAGGTCCATGCAATGACTAAAACACCCACTCATGGCAGGCTAGACTTCTCTCTTGGGGTTGTTTATTATGATTCATACAATACCATTACTCCAAACTTATCAGCACAACCTGCACCCCATGATCCACACTAGTGCAAGATCCAAAATGGGAGGACTGATGTCAGGGTGGTGGGCGGTGCCTTATTCATTTTGGATCTTTGTGGTCCTCATTCAGCATTTAGTTCAACAAATAAGGCAGGCGGCTGGAGGCAGTTTCTGCCGGGCGTATCTTGATAGGAGATCACAGGACTTGGGGGTGGGCGGTAGGGGTTGTGTGTGCGTTAGTATGATTATTAGTTTTTATAAGTGAATTTTATTAATGACATCACTAATAAAAACTAATACAGTAACTCAAACACGAAGCTCACTGTAAGCTGGTGTTCTGCAGAGGGTGTGCTAGGGGAGACGGCTTCCTGCCTACCCTAATTAATGACTTCAGCAAACTTGTACTGAGTGTTTAGTATGTGTCAGGTATTCTTCCATGTGCTGAGGTCATATATAAGCTAGCAGCTCTCTCTTGCAAGGATATGGATTAACAGAAGGAACAGACACATCAACGGTTGTGGTACAGAGCAACACATACAGATGCTATGAGTGTGCATGAAGCTTGGTGATGCACCTGGAGAACTGACTCATTGTACTTAAGGGGCTGGGGGGTGTGCTTTAGAGGGGGTGATGTAGCTGAGGGCCAAAGCAGCTCTTCTAGAAGGTCCCTGCTGACATGCGAGTGGTCTCTGGGCTTGTGGGAACAGTGGGGCTGGAGGTGCGTCATGGTTGGTGAGAGTCTCGTGTTGGGGGGCTTCCTGCACTGAGGATGGAGTGGAACAGCTGGGTCACCCCGGGCTTGCCAGGGCGTGCTGCACTGTTTGTGCCTTACGCCATGGGCAATTCCAGGGTATCCTGAGAGGGGAAGGGAAGGAGCACTGAGAGCCAGAAGTGGAAGAAAGCGAAGTGCAGCATCTGAGGACAATGGGGGGGAGACAGCGGCGGGCGGGCTGCGGGCTGCCATCCTGCTCTGCAGGTGCCTGCAGGGTTCTCGCCCAGCGGAGCCTGCTTGTATCCACCATCCACACAGTGGAAGCTCTAGGCAGCTATTGCTCCTCCTGTCACTACTGCAAATAAGTAGAAAAGAAGCAGAAGGTTGGGACCTCCCTGGTGGCCTAGGGGTTAAGTCTCAGCACCGTCACCACTGCAGCCTGAGTTCGATCCCCAGCCAAGGAGCTGACCCACCAGGCACGGGAGACCTCTCCTGTCTCGCTCTGCTCCCCTCAGCAGGGTATTTCACCTGTTCTGGTGAATCCTCTCACCCCCCTGCACCTCTGGCCTACACCCCAGTTCTTGTATGCATAAGTAAATAAAAAGAAATACGTCTTTAAAGAAAAAAAGAAGCAAAAGCTTGGAAGAGAGAAAGTACCACTCCTCTGGGGTGCACTTGTTTGGGGTGATGGGAGCTAAATCCTTCTAGAAATCAGGAGTACTGAGAAGAGGAATTAAGAAAAAGGTTTTTAGAGACTTTCTCCTTATCGAGTACCCAAATTATTCTGCTCAGTAGAAGCTGGGATTAGCAGAAAGACAACCTAACTAAGAACCTGGTGTCAATGACCAGAGGCAGTGAGAGCCGAGAATTAGACTTCAGGCAAGGGTACTAATTAAGGTTTCCCATGCTCTCAAAGGGAACTTCATGAAATAGCTGGCAAGCTGGCAAGATACCAGAGAAGACTCCTGGCCCGAGCAGCCATGTCCCGTCACTCGAGGGGATGAGGCAGAGGAGGAGGCGCTGGAGGGTGGTGGCAGCTGGTACTTACCTGTAGATGTCCCGGGCCATTCCGAAGTCTCCGATCTTGGCCACTCTTCCAGGACCTGGGCAGGTCAAGAGGCAGTTCCTGGCAGCAATGTCCCTGTGAAGAAAAAAGATGAGAAAATACATTGCCTGATTTTATCTCTGGGAAGATAAACATCTAATATTCACCTAGGATTTTCACTTCCAATTTGAAGTTCAAACAGTTCCCTCCTCTGCCTCGTATTTCATTTACCACATTATATTTCAGCAGGAAAGAAAGAAAGAACTACCAATTCTAGGCCTCAGAAATAGCTTTAACAATCCTAGGCCTTCAATAGCATAGACAAAAAAAAAGAGAAGTGGAGAAGGATTAGGGGAGATGATTGAAAATGTTTAATGGGATAATAGTAATGAAAATAACTATAATAGAAACTAGAATTGACTGGCCTTTTACTACGTACGAAGCCATGTTGTAAGGACTTCATATCTAATTCTTATAATAAGCCTGGAAGTTACAGGGTGCTATTATTATCTTCATTTTATTTAAAAAAATTAAGCTAAAAGCAGAAAATACAGAGACATAGCACATGCCATTTAGCTTTGTCCATTTTGCTGGTCGGTTTCTGCTGGCTTTTTGAAGGAGTCTCTGAGCAGCGTGACTTCTAAGACATCAAATTCAAACAGGCCCGGTATCTTTCAAAGATTTCTAATTTGCTTTCCTTTATTTTTTTTTAAATTCTAACTGGAGAGATTTATTAGGAAAAGGAGAAAGGAACAAAAGAGGCACCTGTATGGACAAAAATGGGCAGAGAGCTGCTGCTGCTTTTTGAAGGAAAGACCTGAGACACCTGCACAGTGCACACAGGCAGGCCAGGGACACGCGCTGTCTTTGTTTTCTTTTTAAATGAGTCATCATGGTTCTCACAGGCCTGATTTTATCTAAGGTTGTTGCTAAACTGCATGCGTCATAGCTACATGGCTAAAGAAATCACTTCTTTCAAGTTATGAAATCATCTTGTCTTCTTTGTTATTCTATTCTGGGAGGCCCGTTTTCCTGTAGTGTGTCTGCACGGCATGATGAGAAGGTGCATCAACTTATAGTCACTGATGCTTTCCCATTCTTGACGTGCATTTGGGAATGAAGGGTGTGGCTAGAAGTATGGGATGGGTCTTCAATAATACTCAAGTCTTGGACAGCAAAAATCTCCCCCCAAAACAAAACAACAACAAAATACTAAGGGTATACAAGTTTTCATGAAGTTCCTGACCTTTGATTGAGAAGTACGTGGCAAGTAACTAACTAGAAAGTGCCAAAACACAACAACCACAACAACAACCAAAAAGTCGGAATCTGGGTTGGAGATCACAGTCCAGGATACAGAACAGTGCATTGAACAGGGAGAGGGCTGTGGTTACTCCAGTGTTCGGGTCCAGAAGGGTTAGGTTATATAAGATACTCTGATAAAACTATGACTCATATATCCATGACATCAAATAGAAGATAAATCACGGGTACTATCGTCATCATTTCTCAAGAGAAAGAGGGTGAACTAGATTAGGAATGACATTTATGGTTCTAGAAAGGTCTTTATGCTGATACTCATGGGACGGTTACTTACAGAAGGTGATCTTGAATTTCATAGCAAGAAAGTAATGTAATAGCACAGAAGACACCAAGAATGGGCAGCATGGCAGAGAACAATGTCCAGAGGAATCACATCTAATAGCAAGGGGGGGCACGTGGGAGTTTTCTCTCCCAGATCAGGTGTACGTGGATGGAGGCGGTGAACTTTAAGGCAGATCCATGGTGGAGGAGAGAGAGAATTCGAGGTCATAGGGCTGTGGGGTTGCCCCAGACCCCCTTGCCAGTAGAAGATGTGGCTGGTGCTGTCCTAGCACTAGTGAGCCCAGAAGAGAGGCTTTGGTTCTATGTCACGGCAGTCTTACTTTGCTTTTAAAGCAGATTATACTTGATTTAACTTTTGACCATTTCATTTCTCAAATAAGACAAAAGGAGCAAAAAAATATTACTCTGGGATCTGATTCTGAGCTTCAGTAACAATTTAGTGATAGGGAAGCTACAGGGAATTGAAAGCACTGAGAATAACACAACACTGGATATAGTCAAAACACATCACAGCTCTAGGAAAGCAGGTTTCAAAATATCAGAGAAAGATGGGTGGGATTGCTCAGCCGGAGCTTCTGCATCCCTGGAGCCGAATGTGGGGTGAGCTGACAGGAGGAACAGTCTCTGTGAGAATGAAAGGGAGCCACTGACAGTCATCGGGAGACCGACACACAGGCTGCTCTGGCTGGCTCTTACTTAGTGGAGCAGACAAAAGGGGGAAAGGAGCTTTCACCAGACAGATTCCAAAGGCCCATACCTCCATTATGCTCGAGCAATGGAAAACTGGGTGTGGAGACTTATGGAATGTTCTGGATAAACAAAAGGGGAAGGAGAGGAACAATGGCAGGACTGACCACACCCTGCAGGGAGGGTACAGCTTGGGGTGAGACTACAAGGGATGGGCCCAGCTGCTTTGCTCCTGTTCTTTTTATTATTATTATTAAGGATTTATTCATACATACAGAACTGGGGCGCAGGCCAGAGGTGGTGAGAGGATTTACCAGAGACACAGTGGAGAGCAGAACAGGCAGACTGACTGAAATACGCTGCTGAGGGGAGCAGCAGGCGGGTCAGGAGAGGTCTGCTGAGCCATGTGGGTCAGCTCCGGGGCCTGGGATGAAACTAGACACTGAAGTGGTTGCAGCTGGCTTGCAGTGCTGTGCTTTGACTGGTTGCACCACCAGGGAGGGTCCTTGCTCCTGTTATTTCTATCAAGCATAATCATCTGCAAGTTGGAAAGGTTTAGAAACAAGAGGATCTGCAGACCCAAGTGATGAAGCGATGGTGAAAGGGTGAGACAATGTGGGTGAGTCTATTGCTTTGTTTTAGGAGCCACAGGGTGATCTTACCTGCGTGCATTTCTTGATCTTTAATTTCCCTATTTTTCTCAGGAGAGAAGGCACAGCTTGCTGTCTACTTATAAGCATATCTATTTCTGACCTCACAGAACAGCTCCCATTTTCTACTTTGTGCTTACATATTCTAATTACTCGGAAGATGCTTTACAATCTAAAGACACAGGTTAATAAGATTGTCACTTCTCCAGGTTGTTATTTGCTAAATTAGAAGCAAACCATTAGAATTTTGCAGAGTCTAACAAGCTGACTTCTCAGATTTCAAAATCAAGCTGTCCTCCAAGAAAGTGACTGACATCTATAGGAAATAGGTGTCATCTGTGGTGTCTACAGCATAACACGTGGCCTTGATGTCCCCATCCAAACAACACTGAAACGCTAGGGCCATAGAGCAGAAATGGGGCATAGGAGGAAAGGAAAGAATCATCAGACTTCACTTCAGGGCCTTGCAGACAAAAGTTAATTTATCCACCAAACGTCTATTGTGCCCCTAGAATATACCAGGGTTACAAAGATGAATAAAACCAGATCCTTACCTTCGAGCTGCTTGTTATCAAATGTGTGACGACATGAACACCTTTAACGTCCTCTTAAGGAGCACAGGGGGAGATGTGACAGTGATACAGGGCTGGGTTCGACCCTGCCAGTTTCCCTCAGGAGGCCCCACTGGACAGCAAGATTGGCTCATCTAGGGCTCCAGCGTGGACACGGGCACTTTATGTGACCATCTTATATCTGGGGCCAAGGGAGCCCCGATGGCATAAACAGTTGTCTTAAAGACAAAGGAGGCCGAACCCTGCAAACCACTATGGAGGGAGCCCCACTAGTCTACTCTGCAGGGGGTGGGCCCGTGAGGACGCTAGGGAAGGCAGAGCACGCCTTTAACTCACCGGTGGATGAAGTGGTTCTCCTCTAAATACTGACAGCCACAGGCAATGTCCCGAGCTACGTGCAGAAGGTCCAGCATGGCCAGGCAGGAGGGCTGGCTCTGTGGAGACAGGAGTGACCCGCTGACAAGACGCTTTAGGGGCAGAGCTGACAGTGGCTTCAAACGCGCTCACGGAGACCCAGCACAGACACGCCGCTCCGCCTGGGTCTTGGGAAAACTGGAAACAACCTAAGTGCCCGCCGAATGCCAAGTGGAGGGAGATCATGGGCTATATACCCATGCACCACTGCCGAATTATAAAACAGATGAGATTCTGCCACTTGCCACAACATGGATGGACCCAGAGGGAATTACACTTAGTGAAATAAGTCAGAGAATGACAACCAGCATCTGATTTCAGTCATACACAGAAAACAAACAGATGGACTAAATAAAACAGAAATAAACTTTTGCACTATAAGACTAATAAGCGGTTGCCATATGGGTAGGGAGAAGAGGGCTGGGTAAATCGGGAAAAAGGGGGAAAGATTTGGACTTTCAGCAGCACACTGACTGTAGAACATAACACACGCTGATTTTCAACCACAAACACCTGACACGTAACAAGGCAACGTCACTCCAATTAAGAGAAGAGAGGAATCACCTGGTGGCTACAAGCACAGGCCCTGGCCTCTGCCCAGACCGCTGGCTCCGTGCGTGGGGGGGCTGCCCGGGTGAGTATCAGGCACAGCTAGGCAGGGCGCCCCCAACTCCTGCAATACCCCTATGCCCTGGAAATGCCCCAAAACTCCTGGAAGTGTCTCTGAACCCCTGAAAGTGCCTCTGAAGCCCTGGAAGTACCTCCAAACTCCTGAAATGTCTCTGAACCCCTGAAAGTGCCCCTGAAGCCCTGGAAGTACCCCCAAGATCCTGAAGTGTCTCTGAACCCCTGAAAGTGCCCCTGAATCCCTGAACATGCCCCCTGAACCCTGGCACCACTTCCGAACCCCCTCGTATCCTTTCTGACTCCCGATGTGGCCAACTTTTCACTGGAACCAAATTCCCCTTTGAGCATTCTGGAGCCGGCACCAGGACTGCACGACCAGAGCCGAAGATTTCCATCTGCCCCTTACTCAAGTCAGAGGTTCTCCCTGTCCATGGGGCCTGGGGGCACTGCCCTTTCAGAGGGTTTAGCACTATTGCCCTTAGTGACCCCCGCTTTCATAAAGGTTCTGGCTCCTTGAAAGCTTTTGTGAATATTGACTGAATAAATGGGCCCAAACAGTTATTAGTGTCTAGCATGTATTAAACCCTCAACAAAATATTTGTTGAATAAAAATAAGATCTGCAAACATTTTTTGCCATTAAAAGGAACCTTCCTTCTGGAAGAATTGGGGTTCTAACCTCCCAGGGGGGCTGCTGTCCTAAGCTCTTCTGCATGGGCTCACTCTGGGGGTGACATCTTTGGGGAGGTATCTCAGGGCTTCCTGAGATATCCCAGCACACCTGGGGTGGAGACAGAATGATGATGGGGTGCTACAAGCCTCGGGGTGTGGGCAGCAAGGACAGCCACACAAAGGGTGAGGCTTTTTTTGGAATCTGCTAGTGTGGGAGGGCCCTTAATGGTCAGTCTGGCCTGCAGGCTTCTGCTGTGGGCCTCTCAGAGGCCCTGGGCTGGGAAGCTGCGGGAGAGCCCTGATCTGCCTCTCCTGGCTGGTGCTTTGTTGTTCTTCTTTTTTTAAATTATCCCCAAAATCCTTGCCAAGCGATGGGCCCAAATCCTCTTTACGAGGGGCTCTCTCCTTCCATGCACAACACTCCCTTCTGATCAAGCTTCGAGAATATTCAGTGGGGAAACCAGAGCTGTGCCTCTTCCCAGAGTGCGATGAATGTACCCCCACCTGACCTCTCCCGGGGACTAGCAGGGCACAAGGACCAGGCTTCTGCCTCCATGGGTGGTGCCCAGGCCCTGGCAGAGGTGCCCGGCTGCTGGCAGTGCCCATCTCAGTGGCCTGGTCCCATCTTCGCACTGCACTGCCTCTCATAGAGAACCACTGGGGTGGGCAGCAGGGAACGGTGGACTGCAGACGAATCATGAGTCCCCACTTCCAGCCTTCCCACCCCCTGTGGAGGGCAAGTCACTTCCCTCCCTGAGTCAGTTTTCTTGTCTGTAAAGGGGGTGAGATCAGCCCTGTCTACTTCAGATAGTGATATTGAGATGCAAAAATGATGAAAAGGATGATAACAATGCTGATGAAAATACGATGAGTCTTCCCGCACCCTCATATCGTGGCGGCTGGGCTCAGGCGCACACCCATCTCTTTAGGACTGGACAGGAGTCTTAGCTGGAGAGACAGGTTGCTGAGGGCCTGTAGCAGCAGTGTGGCGCCTCGTAAAGCTACATTTTCTACCCTGAGCCTGGCCCAGGGCAGAGGTCGGAGCAGGTGTGATGTCTCAAGGTTGTGGCTCCACTTTGGCCCTGCGAGGGGGCGCTCAGCTCTGAGCTGTCTTTCTTGGGGTCCCCTGCTTCCCTGAGCATGGGGAGGGTGTGAGTCTTCCCTGCAGCCCTCGCTGTCTGGGAGTGTCTCAAGGAAGGCAGGTATTAATCAGGGGTTTGCTCTGCTCCAGTTCCCAAGGGCAGGTCTCCTGAGATTCTGGTGGTGACAGATGTGGGTAGCTGGTCTCTGGGTCAGCCAGCGGGCTGCACTTTATGATACGGAGCCACCTGCAGGTGCAGAGGTCAGGGACAGCCTGCCCTCAGTCCCATGGCTGACTAATGGCCAGGCAGGCCTTCCTGGGCCCACCTGGGTTTCTTCACTGCCCCAGTCTAGCTGCCCCTTCCCGACAAGCATTTCAGTACACCGCGCAGAGCCGACTCCCGAGGGCCTGCTGAGTGTGCCCAGCCTGCTCACTCCTGCCGTCTCCTTCCCATGCTCCTTCCTTGGCCCAACAGGGGCCAGGGGGGGTTCTCACTCACTGGGCGAGGGCGGGTTTCCCGGAGGAAGGACTTGAGGTCTCCTCCGGCCATGAGCTCCAGCAGGATGAATCGAGGTAGGGCTTGCAGACTCACCCCAATACAGCGCACGATGTTCTGGTGGTTGAATTTGCTGCAGGGCAGAGAGGAGTAACCAGTGTAACTGAGTCTAGGAAAATCTTAAGTGGGAAAAGGAGGACACAAAGCGACGTCTTCAGCAGCGCGTCTGTGAATGCGGACAGGAGTTTAGCAGGCAGAGAGGCCTTGGTTGGAGGCAGAGGGCGCTGCATGGGCGCCCTCCTTTGAAAGAGGGGTGGGAGGTAGGAGAGGGTCGAGTGTCCTTCTCGGATCAGTGCTTGGAACTCCTCACCAGGATTCAGGCCTCAGGGAGGCCTGAGGCAGACGCTGGAGGAGCTACTTCCAGGAGGCCCTGCAGGTGGCTGCGGGACGAGGGGGTGGGGTTGAGGGGCCAGTGGATCCCGCGGTGGCTTCTCCACAGGGACCCTGAGATTGAGTTTTCTTGTTCGTGTGACGCTACTAGGACATGGGGGGCAGTGGAGCCAGGGACCTCCACATGCAGAGCTGAAAGGTGGGTGACTGGATGTGGATGCAGAATGGTGGTTAGTTACTGCCAGGTAGGGGGCGGCGCGGTCTGGGCCTCCCAGCACAAGTATCCGGTGCTTTCCATGTGTGCTCGATATCAGGCATGATACGCAACATCAGAGAACAAGTTATGTTTCCATAAGACGCTGAGCCCTTTGTGTCCCCCTGTGGCTCGAGACCCCACAGTCTGCCACACACATTGCACTGGCCTCCTTGCCTGCCACCTCCAGGCCGGGGAGACCCCAGGCCTCCCCCACTTGTCAGGATGGCCCAGGAGCCCCGTGTAACCCACGAGCCAGACCCAGTCTCGAGGAGGGACGTCTACATCCTCCTTCCCACGACCTGCTGTGGGAGCCTGGGGCCCGACATTCCCAGGGGGGCCTGTGCATAGCAGAAGGGTGCAGGCCAGTGGGGTGGACCAGGACACACCTTCCCTCATGTAGGGGATCATTTCCTTTATATGGCAGTGAGGAACTGGCGCTGGTGGGAGAGGGCTCTGGAGGGTGCCTCTATTTGTACTGTCAAGGACTAGCTCGCTTTGTTTCTTAGGGGAGCAAGGGAAGAGCCAGTGGGCTCCATGGGAAGAACGAGACAGGCTGCTGGTTAAAGGCACAGTGCTACCAACTGGCTATCAAACCACAGGGAGTGTTTTCTGAGACAAGCATCTGGGGCTGTCCACTCTAGTAATATGTGTTAAGAATTTGGGGGAGTCCCTCCTGGAGAGGAGGGGGCTGCTGTAGGACACTCCTTCCTTGTAATATCTCCATGTCCCTGCACGGGTGGGAGGGGGGGGCGCTCTGTGGCTTTACCTGATGATCAGGGCCTCCATGAGGAAGTCCAGCTCGTCCTGTTCAGAACACACCTCTGGCAGCGTCTGGGCACAGAAGGGCAGGCAGGAAGGAGAAGGCTGTGAGCAGCCGAGGCTGCAGCCCAGAGCTCTGCCTACAGACGCCGCGGCCAAGGTCAGCCCCCGAGGGAGCAGCCTCTTACCTTTACGGCCACTTGCAGGGGGCTCGGGTCATTGGGCATTCCCGACACCTGACCTTCATACACCTCCCCGAACGCGCCATGGCCTAGGCCCCTGTGTGAAGGAGAAGGCAAGCCGAGCCAAGACCCCCATGTTTAGACCCCCACGAGAGGCAGGGGTCATGCACACGCTCAAGGGCAACATCTCTAACCTGGTTTTGTTACCGATCCTGGCCTACTGGCCACCAGAGACTCAAGACAGGGGTGACCGTTCCCTCAATGAATACGCAGTCTCTGACAGACAGGGGGTGAGACAGCCCCACCCCCCGCGCTCCCGGGAGGGGCAGGCCTGGCAAGGCCTCTGTGGAGGACAAGCAGGGAGCTCATAGGAGGCACCTGGCTCTGCCATCTGGCCCTCCTCTATTATACAGCCATGGATTGATGGGGTGGGGCGTTCAGCTACAATACCACCCCCCGCCCCCACCACTGGCCCTGAACACTAAACCTTCTTTCCCTAGGAGGACTGGGGGCGTCCTGAGGGGTGGCTGTGTTGGCCTTGTGGCTAGAGGAATCCCTGGTGCTGGGCCCCCCTTAGCACCCGCGTGTCCCACCCCAGAGGACGGCACTGGGCATTCACCGAAGGAGGCTGATATTTTTCCGAGGCACTTCCTTCAGGTCGCTGATGGAGGAGGTCTTGCCCGCAAAGCAGTAGTTGGGGTTGTAGTCGGTCATGATGGTGGAGGTACGGAGCTTGCTTAGTTTATACTCTGGGCTCTGCAACTCCATCTGCATGGCTTGCAGCTCCTGGTGCTTCCGGCGGTAAACTGCAGACAGGTGGAGATCAGCTGCTACGCAGCCTTTATCAGGCTGCCCGGTTCTCGAAGTTCGGTGGAGGCCACCTCCTCCAGGGAGACTTCCTGGGCCTACACTTCCTCCTCTGAGAACTGAACCTTTCCATCAAACTTAGTAATGCCAACAAAGAGATGACAGCCGTGGAAGTATACTTTTAGTCAGGAGACCTCAGCTGAGCTGGGAGAGGGAGGGCAGAGGGTTCTACTCTGGCCCTAGTCCCCACACACGGAGAGTGATACCTCGCCATGTGTGGCACTGCCTGTGATGCAGCCCCATTTTTTTTTTAAATACATACAGAGCTGGGGTATAGGCCAGAGGTGCAGGGGTGGTGAGAGGAATCACCAGAGACAGAGTGGGGAGCAGACTGACTAAGTACACTGCTGAGGGGAGCAGCGGGTGGGTCAGAAGGGGTCTGCTGTGCCATGTGGGTCACCTTCGGGGCTGGGGATTGAACTTGCACTGAAGTGGCCTCGGCCGGCTTCACAGAGCTGTGCTCCAACACGCTGCGCCACCAGGGAGGGCCCACGGTCCCATTTCTACCAGATCTGCCCTTGGAGGCTCCAGGGCTCTGGCACACTCACCAATCATGATGCCCGAGAAAGCCAGGACGAGGGCGGCCACGAGGGCAGAAGTCACCACAGAGAGGATGAGCGAGAGTGGTAGGTGGGGCTCCAGGGTGGGTGACACTGGAAGACAGGTGGGTGACATGGGGCACTGGTGACCACGATAATATTTCTTTGGTCCCAAGTAGGAAAACCCCTCCCTGCCAGGAAAAAGGCTTGGCTCCTCCCTGTTCCTGAAGACCATGTCCACCTCCTTTTTGGAGGACCTGGGGCCCGAGGCAGGTCCATGCTGATTTATTGATCTCAACAGTAGCTGCTGCGGCAGGAGCAGGTGACAGGGACAGATATGAATTCTGGACAGTGATCTGCACCATCGCCTGCACAGTGCCAGGGTGAGGGCGAAAGCTGGCCGCAGGAGAGCTTCGGGGGGCCTCTCCGCAATAGGAAGTGCCAGTGGCAACACTCGGAGCTGAGAGTTGGGGTGCCGCAGCGCAGTGGGAGGCCTGAGAGTGGGGGCGCGGCAGTGCAGTGGGAGGTGCCTCGGGCACAGCAGATGCTCTGAGGCCCCGTGCCCAGGTCAAAAGAGACCCTGAGCACTGGACTCCGGCAGATGCAGGACAGCAGCATCGGGAGGACACGTAAAACTGTATCCACCTGGAAACAGGGGAGGCAGCTGCAGGAGAGGTAGGAGCAGCTCTGCTGGGGCACAGGAGGAGCTATAGGGCCACCAGGCTCAGCCCCCGCCCCTCCACACTGCCAC